TAATTTGAGGCTTTGCTGTTCCAGTGTGGGCAGGAGAGTTCCAGTGAGGAACTGAACCATCCTAAAGACATTTTCTGTCCAGAATTGGATAAAAACTCTGATTTTTCCAGAGCTTTCCTTGTAAAACACTATCAGGAACTTCCAGGAGCACAAAAGGATCAGTGTGGAGGATCCACAATTAAACACATTTAATTTTCTGTAGAATATCCTGGTTTGAGGCCTTGCTGCTCCAGTGTGGGCAGGAGAGTTCCAGTGAGGAACTGAACCATCCTAAAGACATTTTCAGCCCAGAATTGGATAAAAACTCCTTCGTGTGGCAGGAGGAGCAGCAGGGCTGGGTCTGTTCTGCACCCTTGGGGTGAGGCTCGGATCCTCATTCTTTCCATTGTGCACGAATTCTCCTCTGCTGATTCTCCTGCAGGGGCTGCTCCAAGGAGTGGCTTCTGGAGCATTCCTTGGGTAGCAGCCCAGGAGCTTCCTCTCAGGCTGCAGCAAAAATTGGGTTTTTGGGTGGAAACCGGGGAGAAAATGGGATTTAAAGCAGTAGGAATCCAGTTTGGGATTGGGATTGGGAGCTGAATGTGGTAATTGTTAATAGGAGAGGCACATGGGAAGCATTTATTGCCTTTTCTTCTGTTCTCACCCTTGTCCTAAGGTGAGTCAGGAGTTGGTTTCTCACTCCTGAGAGGATTTTCTCATTTTTCCAGCTCCTGAGAGGAGTTAAGACCAGGAATCCTGACTGCCAGATCCCTGGCTGGGCTGTGATTTCAGCGTTAGGTCCAAGGAGTGGCTTCTGGAGCATTCCTTGGGTAGCAGCCCAAGAGCTTCCTTTCAGGCTGCACTTGGAGCTGCAGCAAAAATTGGGGTTTTGGTTGAAAATGGGATTTAAAGCAGTAGGAATCCACTTTGGGATTGGGATTGGGAGCTCAATGGGAAAGGTGTGCCAGGTACAGGTGAGGTGTGAGCTTTGGGAAAGGTCCCAGGTACAGGTGAGGTGTGAGCTTTGGGAAAGGTCCCAGGTACAGGTGAGCTGTGAGCTTTGGGGAAGGCACCAAACCCTCCCTGTGCAGGGAGAGCCGGGGGAGCCTCGCACAATTCCAGGAAGCCACGGGAGGGAGGGGCTGCTCCCAGCCCTGATTGTTTCATTTGCTAATTACCGCTCAAATCGCCTCAAAGTCAAATAAAGCAGAGGATGTGAGCTGGTGGGGCTGTTCCCTCCTCCCCTTCCCCACATTTCCTCGCCCTTTTTCTTTTATTTTAAGATATTTGTGGACGTGGGGCTTTGCTGGTGGGGCAGAGCAGGTTTGGGGTAAAGTTTGGGGTGAAGAGTGGGGTGTTCTTCATCATTTGTCTCTGGTGTGGCCTTGGCTGTGTCCTTTTACCTTCCTGCACCTGGTGGATGCATTTGAGGGATGAATTAAAGGATGTTTTATGCAGGGAGATTTTTCTGGAGTGCACAAAGAGGGACATGCCACAAGTCTATAAAGAATATTGAATAAAAATCTCAATTCTTGGTGTGCTGTGCTCTCCTTTTCCAAGGGACAAATGGGAGCTGGGCAGGCAGAGCTGCAGTGACCTGGAAATACAATTTTATTCATTTTATCCAAACTTGGTGTTTGGTTGCTGTCCCCAGTGAACAGGAGGTTGTGTGTGCTGGAACGGGAGCCCTGAGCCCCACGGGGCTGCCAGCAGGCAGGACGTGACCTGGGGAACAAAAACCTCTTTTTCTGAGAGGGGATAAACATCTCCTTTTCTGGGCCTTGCTATCAGCTGCTCTTTGGTGCTATTTTCAAGCAGGGAGTCCCTCAGCAGTCAGGCCCTGGTGATTTATCTCCAGGTGGAGCACATCCAGTGCCAATATTCTTCACCTCAGGGTGAGGTCTCGGAGAAAAATCACCTTTTTTTCTTCTTATACTGGCTTGATTTGGAATATTCCTCACCCCAGGGTGAGGTCTCGGAGAAAAATCACCTTTTTTCCTTCTTATACTGGCTTGATTTGGAATATTCTTCACCTCAGGTTGAGGTCTCGGAGAAAAATCACCTTTTTTTTTTCTTATACTGGCTTGATTTGGAATATTCTTCACCTCAGGGTGACGTCTCGGAGAAAAATAACTTTTTTTCCTTCTTATACTGGCTTGATTTGGAATATTCCTCACCCCAGGAAGAGATTTTTGGGATAAATCACCTTTTTTTCCTTGCCATGCTGGTTTGGATTGGAATATTCTTCACCTCAGGGTGAGGTCTCTGAGAAAAATCACTTTTTTTTCCTTGCCATGTTGGTTTGGGTTGGAATATTCTTCACCTCAGGAAGAGATTTCTGGGAGAAATCACCTTTTTTCCTTGTTATGCTGTTTTGGACTGGAATATTCTTCACCTCAGGATGAGATTTTTGAGAGAAACTACTTTTTTTTCCTTGTTGTGCTGCTTTGGATTGGAAAGTTCTTCACCTCAGGAAGTTTCTGGAAGAAATCACCTTTTTTCCTTGCCACACTGTTTTGGATTGGAATATTCTTCACCCCAGCAAGAGATTTTTGGGATAAATCACCTTTTTTTCCTTGTCATGCTGTGCTGGAACATTCTTCACCTCAGGATGAGCTCTCTGAGAAAAATCACTTTTTCTTCCTTGTTGGGCTGGTTTGGATTGGAATATTCTCTACCCCAGGAAGTTTTTGGGATAAATCACCTTTTTTCTTTGTTATGTTGTTTTGAATTGGAAAGTTCTTCACCCCAGCAAGAGATTTTTGGGATAAATCACCTTTTTTTCTTTGTTATGCTGTTTCAGATTGGAATGTTCCTCACCTCAGGAAGAGATTTTTGGGATAAATCACCTTTTTTTTCCTTGCCATGCTCTTTTGGATTGCAATATTCCTCACCTCAGGCTGAGGTCTCTGAGAAAAATCACTTTTTTTCCTTGCCAGGGCTGTTTTGGACTGGAATATTCTTCACCTCAGGAAGAGACTTTTGGGATAAATCACTTTTTTTCCTTGCCATGCTCTTTTGGACTGGAATATTCTTCACCTCAGGAAGAGACTTTTGGGATAAATCACTTTTTTTCCTTGCCATGCTCTTTTGGACTGGAATATTCTTCACCTCAGGAAGAGACTTTTGGGATAAATCACTTTTTTTCCTTGCCATGCTCTTTTGGACTGGAATATTCTTCACCTCAGGAAGAGACTTTTGGGATAAATCACTTTTTTTTCCTTGCCATGCTGTTTCAGGCTGGAATATCCACCCCAAGAAGAGACCAGCAGCCCTCATGGCAGCACCTCCCCAAAAAAACAGGAATTCTCTGTACGATTTTTTCTGGGAGCAGAAATTCTTTATATGATTTTTTTTCTGGGAGCAGAACTTCTCTGTATGATTTTTTGGATTCAGAAATTCTGTATATGATTTTTTCTGGGAGCAGGAATTCTCAGTATGATTTTTCTGGATTCAGGAATTCTGTGTATGATTTTTTCTGGGAGCAGGAATTCTCAGTATGATTTTTCTGGATTCAGGAATTCTGTGTATGATTTTTCTGGGAGCAGGAATTCTCTGTATGATTTTTCCAGGAGCAGCAATTCTCACCTGGGATTTCTGGGCTGTCCCGAGTGTCATGTCCTGCCCTTTCAGGCGTGCAGATAAAATCACGGCACATCTTTCTCTGCTGATCCAGCTGTGCTGAGTGTTCCCCCTGGGACACCAAAGATTCCACTCTGTCCCCTGGGATCCAGGAGTGTTGAAATCCCGATTGCAGCTCCAGAATTACTGAGAGCTCTGAATTGTCAGAGGTTTTTAAAGCCCCGAGTTTCTGCTTTTAGTGGAGTCTGAGCAGAAATGACTCAAAGCAAGACTGGAATCATAAGATCTGATCCCTGCTGCCAAAAGATGCAGGGAGGTTTAGGAATGAAGTGAATATTTTAAATTGTTTTACTTTCCAATAATAGAAAAAAAAAAAGGGTAAAAATTGCCTAATATTGCCCTGCCAGCCATTAACAATTCAAATTAAAAAAAAAAAAGGTGCTCATTCCTTAACATGTGTGGGAATGCAGGCATTAGTGGTGGAGTTATTTATTTTTATTTTTTCAGAAGAAACTCCATTTAGTGTTTCCCCCCCTCAACACGACACTGCTTTACCCCAGTGAGCTGCTTTGTGGTTCTTGTGGTTTTTCTTCACCCAGCAACAAGACAAAAACATAAATAAAGGGAAAAGTGCTGTGGATGCACAGATTTGGATGAGACTTCAGATTGTCAGCAGCAAATTCTCCCTGTTCTGCACTTTGAGGGCAGAAATCTGCTTTTGGTACAAAAATCTCTGACAAGGGGGTTCCAGCACAGGGGGGTTTTAAATATTGCCCTGCCAGCCATTAACAATTCAAATTAAAAAAAAAAAAGGTGCTCATTCCTTAACATGTGTGGGAATGCAGGCATTAGTGGTGGAGTTATTTATTTTTATTTTTTCAGAAGAAACTCCATTTAGTGTTTCCCCCCCTCAACACGACACTGCTTTACCCCAGTGAGCTGCTTTGTGGTTCTTGTGGTTTTTCTTCACCCAGCAACAAGACAAAAACATAAATAAAGGGAAAAGTGCTGTGGATGCACAGATTTGGATGAGACTTCAGATTGTCAGCAGCAAATTCTCCCTGTTCTGCACTTTGAGGGCAGAAATCTGCTTTTGGTACAAAAATCTCTGACAAGGGGATTCAGCACAGGGGGATTTTGGCCCCCATCAGACATTTCAGAGCTCTGGGGAGACTCCAAAATGGGAAATTCTTAAAATTATTTTAGTGCCTCCCACTTTGGGGTGGTTGTCTGGAAAGTTGCAGTTTTACCTTTTATTTTGATTTATTTTCTCTGTTTTCACAGTTCCCATATTCATTAAACACAGAGCACCTGCTGACACCAACATTTAATGAATAAATTGCATTTTTCCTGGACAATTTGAGAAAAGCACCGTCCATTCTGACCTGCTGTGATTTCAAACTCCTGATTTTCTTCTCTTGTTTTATTTTTGTTTCCAGGGTGGTGAAGGAAGAGATCTCAGATGACAACGCAAAGCTGCCTTGCTTCAATGGAAGAGTGGTGTCCTGGGTGAGTTGGATTTTGTGTGTGCAAATCTGTCTTGTTTGATACTGGAAGCTGATTTTTAGATCCTGGTTTTGCTGGGATGAAGACACACAAGGAAATAGTAGCAAAATAAGTTTATAGGAGTTTTTTTCCAGCTGCACAGTTGGTACAAACTTGGAATTCTCAGGAGGAATGAGCAGCTTTTCTCCATTCCTGTGCTGATTTTAGGAGTTGAAGATCTTGCTCATATTTCTTACTTTTTATATTTTTTATATTTTAACTATTAACTTTTTAATATTTTAATTATTTTAATATTTTAATATTTGAACTATTTTATCCCTTGAAATATTTTAGCAGCCCAGACATGGGGTGGGGATCACTGCTGCAGGAGGATTTGGGATGGGGATCATTCCTCCAGGAGGATTTGGGATGGGGATCAGGATTTGGGATGGGGATCATTCCTCCAGGAGGATTTGGGATGGGGATGGGGATCAGATCACTGCTGCAGGAGGATTTGGGATGGGGATCACTGCTGCAGGAGGATTTGGGGTGGGGATCCCAAATCCAAACTCCTCTAGGAGGACCATCCTGGTGTCCCCTGGGTGCCCCGGGGCTCTGGGGTGCCCTGGGGCTTTGGGGGGCTCTGGGGTGCCCTGGAGCTTTGGGGTGCCCTGGGGTTTTGGGGTGCCCTGAGGCTCTGGGGTGCCCTGGGGCTTTGGGGTGCCCTGGGGTTTTGGGGTGCCCTGGAGCTTTGGGGTGCCCTGGGGTTTTGGGGTGCCCTGAGGCTCTGGGGTGCCCCGGGGCTCTGGGGTGCCCTGGGGCTTTGGGGTGCCCTGGGGCTTTGGGGTGCTCTGGGGTGCCCTGAGGCTCTGGGGTGCCCCGGGGCTCTGGGGTGCCCCGGGGCTTTGGGGTGCCCTGGGGTTTTGGGGTGCCCTGGGGCTCTGGGGTGCCCTGGGGCTCTGGGGTGCTCTGGGGTGCCCCGGGGCTTTGGGGTACCCTGAGGGTTTGGGGTTTGCTGCTTTGCTGCTCTCAGATGCCCCTGAGCTGTTCCTGTCTCCTGCCAGGGCAGCGTGGGGCTGTGCCAGGGGGCAGGGGTGGCACAAAAAGGGATCTCGTGTGTGATTAACGAGCTGAAATGAGTCCCAAAGGCTGCAGATGGAGCAGGGGGGAGGAACTGGAGGTGGGATTGGAGCTGCCCTGGCTGGGAGCAGCAGCACTGACCAGAATCCCTTGAGAGGCTGCCCCAGAACAGGGTTAAAGAACAAAACAGGGATTTATTCATTATTTGGGGTTTACCATTAATTATTGAGAATTAATTATTGATAATTATTATATCAATACCATTATTATTGTCGTTAATGGAGCCTTTTTGTGTGCTGGCCTGAATTTTTTCGTGCTGCTCAGGATGAGTTATGAACCCCCATCCTGCACAGACTGTGGGAAGCTGGGTTGGGTTTATTCCCCCAAAATTTGGGTTTTTCCTGCTCCCCAATTCCCCCTGCTCTGGAGCTCCCAAAATGCACTTTTTGCAGCTGGGTTTCTGCCCTGTGTGATGAATTGCAAATGACTTTTTGCACGCTGACACCCAGAGAATTGCAGGGCTTATCTGCCTCTGCTGCCTGCTAATTACTGGAGGAGTTTTATGTAAATCTCACTGGAAGTTAATTGTTCCCCTTCGAATTTTTTAATGTCCCATTCACTGGGACTTAACAGATAATGGCACACAAATCTTCCAGGGATAGCAGGGTTGGGTCTTTACCCTTTAGAAATATATATATATATATATAAAATTTTTATATTTATTATTTTATATATATATGTTTGTGTATATATATATATATAAAAATTTATATGTGTATATATATGTATGTGTATATATGTGTATGTATATATAATTTAGATATATTATTATATATGTTATTTATTATAACATATAATAATTCTATGTTATATACAATATATGTTATATATTATAGATACAATATATAATAATACAAAATAATATACTATATAAAATATATAATATAATATAATATATAATTATAAAATAGAAAATAAATATAATATAATAACACAAAATATATAAACTCAATATATTTTATATATTGTGTTTAATATATTATTATATAAAATATAATAATATGCACAGTATATATAATATATAAAATATATTAATTAATATAGTAATTATATATAATCTATAAAATATATAAGTATATATTTTATAGATTATATATCATTAAATAAATATAATATTATATTTATAATATAATAAATATATAATATTTAATAATACTATAATAAATATCTATTATATATATAATAAAATTGTATAAAAATAAATATAATAAAATTATATAAAATTCATATATAAAATGTATTTATATTTATATTTATATTTATATTTATATTTATATTTATATTTATACACACCCACTTTTTTGTGTGTGTTTGGCCAGGATTATTTCCTTATCTGCTGTTTATTTATTTTTTACCTGGCGCTGATCTTTCTTGGTCCCGGTGCCATGAGGTGTGTGGCAGGTGCTGGGGGCAGCCTGGCACTCCTGCCCAGAGCCCGTGGTGTGAAATGGGAAATTCAGCGTCCACCCCACGGCGGAGCCCCTCTCCCACACCTCCCACTCGGAATTTCCCAGGGAGAATTGGGAGATTTTCATCTTTTTTAGCACATTTTGAATCCTTCAGTTCATCCCAGGTGGGAGCTTTGATCTGGGTGTCACCTGCAGCCCTGATTTCCACAGGGAAAATATTCCAGAAAATCCTGCAGGTCCTTCCTTTGGCTGCCCGTGTGCAGCTGGGTTAAAATCGTTTTAATTCCTGCTCAATTAACATCCCTGCTGCTAATGAGCTGTTTCAGCTTCCTCCCAGCCCTCCTGTGTGCTGCTTGTTTCCTCCTCCACATCTCAGATCTTTCTTTTGATTTCAGCCCGGGTTTGTTTTTCTTCTTGTGTGATTTTGGTTCTTTTTGCTCTTGTTTTTGTTGTGGTGTTTTTGAATAATTTGGGATAGAGCTGCTGCTTCCTAGATTCCTTTGTAAGGAATTCTTTAAAATCCTTTTTTCCTTTGGTTGACCTTTAGTTTTTTTTTTGACAGTACAGAGGCTGTCATTAATTGTATGTCAGAATTCTTAATTAATGACATGAATTGCATTTACACAAACACATCTTCTGCCAGAAATAGCTGATATTTGTCCTGTTTTTCTAACGTACAACACAGAATATAATTTTTCCCTGGCAATCATTTATTTGGACTGCTTACCTGAACGAAATTATTAATGCAATTTTTCTTTTTGTCTTTTTATTTTTGTGCCTTATCTGGGATATATGAAAAAAAAAAAAAGGCAGAAAATATTTTTTTGCAATGAATTAAAATGTTTTTCCCTTCTCTTGGGGAACAGTGGAATGGTGGGAGCTGGGAGTGTGGCAGGGATTGGTTTGTGGCCGCTGCCAGCTCCGTTATCTCTGTTTTTTAGGCAGGATTTGCAACATCTGGGAACAATTCCTGGCCTGGCTGCTGGGAATGAGCAGCTCCCATTGGCTGGCAGTGATGTCACTGCTTTCCCGGAGCTTTTCCCGTTTTTTCCTCCCCTTTATCTGGCTGCCAGCAGATAATTCTGGTCCTGTTTGTACATCAGCTTTTTACAGGCTGTATTTGCAATTCTAATGAACGCCCTGGTGGGGCAGAACCGTTTGACAAGGGCAGCACAGGAGCTCCAGGGCTGGGAAATGAAAAATAAAAATGCTCAGGGCTGAGGCAGGGAATAAAAATCCCCCTGAGCAGAATCTTGGATGAAATGAGCTGATTTCATCCAGAAATCATCCATCTTCACACTTTCTATAAACCCTCACTCATGCCAAGCCTCATCTCAGCACAGACAATTTCTCCTTGCTGAAATAAATAGAATTTCCCAGGTTTTTGCAGAGATGAGGAGTCCTGATGCCTTTGGGGGAATTCCTGGTGGAGCACAGGAATTTTCTGTAATTATTCCTGGTGTGGATGAGGGGGCACAGCTCTGGAGCTTTGCCTTGGGATTTGAGACATGATGGGAAATAATTACTTCCAGCTCAGAGATGGATGTGGCTGTTGTGAAGTTGCTGTCAAAAATATAAATGGCTCTTTTGGGGGTTTCTTCAGTCACTGGGATGCCTTGGGAAGGCTGGGCTGGAACAGAGCTACAGAATAAAGCAGGGATTTATGAAAAGGATCTCCTCCATGGAGCCACCTTGGGCAGCACCAGAGCCCAGCCAGGGCTGCACCCAAGGGGAACCAAAATGGTCCCAAAATGAGCCCAAGGGGAACCAAAATGGTCCCAAAATGAACCCAAGGGGAACCAAAATGGTCCCAAGATGAATCAAAATGGTTCCAAAATTAACCCGAGATGAACAAAAATGGTCCCAAAATGAACCAAGATGAACCCAAATGGTCCCAAAATGAACCCAAGGTGAACCAAAATGGTCCCAATGTAATTTTGCACAATTCTGTTTTTTTTCCTGTTGGCAGCTGGTCCTGGCCGAGAGCTCCCACTCCGACACGGGCTCGCAGTGCACCGAGAGCCACGTGGAGCTTCCCCCAGCCCTGGAGAGGACAGGAGGCATCGGAGACTCCCGGCCCCCCTCCTTCCAGTAAGCCCCAGTTCATTCAGCAGGGTCTCATTTATCGAGTGGATTTGTCAAATTCTCCTTCCCATCTATTTCTCACCCTCAGTTCCCTTCCTGCTGCAAGCCTGCTGGTTGTTGTTGTGGTTAAAAAGAATGAAATATTGAGGAATCAAAAGGGGGATGGGAATGAAAACCCCCTGTCATTGTTAAGAATTAAATATTTATCCAAAATACCTAATTTTCCCAGCCCCTATCATGCCAGTAATTCCCACTGATTTATCAAATTCTCCTTCCCATCTATTTCTCACCCTTATTTCCCCTCCTGCTCCAAGCCAACTGCTTGATTTTTATAGAAATCAAATATTGAGGAATTAAAAGGAAATGGGACTGAAAAATCCCTGTCACTGTTAGAGTGACATATTTATCCAAAATATCTAATTTTCCCATCATTCCAGTAATTCCCATTTATTTCTCAAATTCTCATTCCCATCTATTTCTCACCCTCATTTCCCTTCCTGCTCCAAGCTGTTTGATTTTTACAGAAATCAAATATTGAGGAATTAAAAGGGGAATGGGAATGAAAAACCCCTGTCACTGGCAGAGTGAATATTTATCCAATATATGTATCCAGAATATCTCATTTTCCTGGCCCTCATCATCCCAGTAAGCCCAAATTCCCATTGATTTATTATTGATTTATTCCCATCTATTTCTCACCCTCAGTTCCCTTCCTGCTCCAAGCCAACTGTTTGCTGTTGTGGTTATAAAAATCAAATATTGAGGAATTAAAAGGGAATGGGACTGAGAAACCCCTGTCATTGGCAGAGTGAATATTTACCCAAAATATCTCATTTTCCCAGCCCCCGTCATTCCAGTAATTCCCACTGATTTCTCAAATTCTCATTCCCATTTATTTCTCACCCTCATTTCCCTTCCTACTCCAAGCCAACTCTTTGATTTTTATAAAAATCAAATATTGAGGAATTAAAAGGGAATGGGACTGAAAAACCCCTGTCACTGGCAGAGTGAAATATTTACCCCAAACATCTCATTTTCCAGCCTGCTGTGGATGAGTTGAGCAGGGAGGGAGCCAGGATGCTTTTGCAGTGTGTGCCTGACAAGTGATTAGTGCTCTGTGTAATTAGGGAGGCTGCAGAGGCAGCTGCAGGCTGCTGGCAGCAGGGGGAATTCCCACAAGGAATAAGAAATTCCTGTTCCACGTCCATCCAGAGGCTGCCCAGCCTGGCAATATCTGCTTTGATATTGTTATTTCCTCTTCCTGATCCTTAGGATATCTTCATTTTCCAGGGAATTTCCACCAGGAAAAAATTCCTCCTTCCAGCAGGAGGATTTAAAGCAGGGCCTTGTGCTTGGAGAAGGAAATATGGCCTGGATTTGCCTTTTTTTCTTTTTTTTTTTTGGGATGGATGTTGCCTGGAAGAGCTCTCAGTGTTGGGAGTCTTTTTAAAAAAAAACCTTTTAGAGGAGACAAGAAATGCTGGGAAATTCTGGCAGTGCCTTGCAAGGGCTGTGCTGCCCTCCTGTGTTCTGATCTGGCCAGAAAATCAAACCAGGCTTTTGTTTTTCCTGGCCTGAACCTGCCTGCCACAGCTGCCACCCCCAGCTTTGGTTTAAAAAATAATTAACTGGTAATTAGGCACGAGGTTTGTGGGGCCAGTGCCCTGCTGGTCCTCCTGCTTCTTCCAGAATATTCCAAATATTGCACAGAAAATGGGGGAATGCTCTGAGGGATCAGGGACATGGCTCAGGTTGTGTTTTCTGTTCCCATTCCCAAATAAATCCACTGTAATATTATATTTATAATGTTTAAATAGAAAATATACTATATCTTTATATTTATAGATTTATTCAATTTATTAAATTAAATCATTTATTATGCAGTGTTTTTTAGATTCCGTTTTCACCCCTCAGGTGTTTTTAGGTTCTGTTTTCTGAGTTGTTTTTAGGTTCTCTTTCCCCCCTGAGCTGTTTTAGGCTCTCTTTCCCCCCGTGAGGTGTTTTAGGTTCTCTTTTTCCCCCCGAGGTGTTTTTAGGTTCTGTTTTCCCCCCCTTAGGTGGTTCTCTTTCCCCCCCGAGGTTTTTGTAGGTTCTCTTTCCCCCCTGAGTTGCTTTTAGGCTCTCTTTCACCCCTCAGGTGTTTTTAAGTTCTGTTTTCCGAGGCGTTTTTAGGTTCTCTTTTGCCCCCCCGAGGTGTTTTTAGGGTCTGTTTTCTGAGGTATTTTTAGGTTCTCTTTCCCCCCCTGCGAGGTGTTTTTAGGTTCCCTTTTCACCCCTCAGGTGTTTTTAGGTTCTCTTTCCCCCCAAGATGTTTTTTAGGTTCTCTTTCCCCCCAAGATGTTTTTTAGGTTCTCTTTCCCCCCCAAGATGTTTTTTAGGTTCTCTTTCCCCCCTGAGCTGTTTTAGGTTCTCTTTCCCCCAGTGAGGTATTTTTAGGTTCTCTTTGCCCCGAGCTGCTCTGGGGGTGCCCATCACCCTGTGCCCGTGCTCCGTGAGGGTGGGATGGGGACAGCAGGGCCCGCAGTGACTGTGCCCGTGCTCCATGAGGGTGGGCAGGGACAGCAGGGCCCGCAGTGACTGTGCCCGTGCGGGTGGGCAGGGGCAGCAGGGCCCGCAGTGACTGTGCCCCTGCTCCGTGCGGGTGGGCAGGGACAGCAGGCCCCGCAGTGACTGTGCCCCTGCTCCCTGCAGCCCCAACGCCGGCAGCAGCCGGGACGGCCTGGACAACGAGACCGGGAGCGAGTCCGTGCTCAGCCACCGGCGGGAGCGGCACCGGCGCCGGCCCCGCGAGGGCCACGAGGACGGTGAGTGCCTCCTCATCCTCCCTGCTCTGCCCCACGAGGACGGTGAGTGCCTCCTCATCCTCCCTGCTCTGCCCCATGAGGACGGTGAGTGCCTCCTCATCCTCCCTGCTCTGAGGACGGTGAGTGCCTCCTCATCCTCCCTGCTCTGAGGACGGTGAGTGCCTCCTCATCCTCCCTGGCCTGCCCCATGAGGACGGTGAGTGCCTCCTCATCCTCCCTGGCCTGCCTCACGCTTCCCGGGCAGCTCCTCTGAGGGGCTGTGAGGGTCTGCAGAGGGAGGTGAGAGGTGAGAGTCGGGCTCTGTGCTCTCTGAAGGATTATATTATATTACATTACATTACATTACATCATATCATATCATATCATATCATATCATATCATATCATATCATATCATATCATATCATATTTATTATATTTATTTTATTATAGTATATAATATATCACATTATATTATATTGTATCACATTATATTATATCATATTATATCATATTATATCACATATCATATTATATTATATCACATTTTATTATATCATATTATATTATATCACATTTTATTACATCACATCACATGATATTATATTATATTACATCACATCACATGATATTATATTATATTGCATTGCATTACGTCATACTATATCATATTATGATATTATACTATATTCTGTTATTAAATTATTAAATTATATCATGATACCATATTATTGTATCATGGTATGATATAATATTATACTATTTTATGATATTATTTTATTATACTATATGATATTATATTTCGTTATGTTATATTACATCATATCATATTAGATCATGTCATATATTATTATAGTATATTATAGTATAGTATATTGTAGTATGTTATGACATTACTATGTTATATTATGATACTATATTATTAAATTATATTATATTGTTGTATTATGCTATATTATGATATGATAGATATATTACATTATATTGTGATTATATGATATGATATATTATGATATGATATAATATATTGTATGTTATAAGATACTATAATATATTATAATATATTATAATGTTATAGAATACTATACTAAAACTATACCAAAGAAAGAGAAAGGGTACCGACAAAAGGCTTGACAAGAATGAATAATAAAATCTCCTGACTTGACTCCTCAGAGGCACAGCTGAGGTGTTGGGTCATTGACTAAAAACAATTCCCATGGGACCAATCAAACATGCTTCTGTTGGTAAACGAGCTCCAGAGCACTTCCAAAGAGCCAAACACAGCAGAAGCAATCAGCTAATTATTATTTACCTTTTTCTCTGAGCTTTCTCAGCTTCCCAGGACAAGAAATCCCAGCAAAGGGATTTTTCAGAAAATATCCCAGTGACACTCCTCCTCCTCCAGAGACTCCTGGCTGCGTTCCTGCCTGCTTTCAGGGAGTCTTCGTTATTATTTTAATGAAATAATTTGATAATTGCTCTGAAAGCCTTTGAAGCTCAGCGTTTTTCCCAGATACACTTCACAGTGAAGTGGCAGAGAGATTGGTTTTGACAAAGTGCAGAACTTTCTGTAGCATGAGAAGATGAAGAGCTTGCCTGTTGATTTCCCAAGGTTTGGATCAGCTCTGGTGTTTTCTGCTGGTGTCACAGAGGCTCTGAAGATCTTTTTTTATACCTAAATGCACCCAAAGTGCACCTATAAAATGCAGAACTCCATCTCTTGCCTCTGGTCCTTACATCAAAGGAGGCTTGGGTTTTTTATTCATTGCCAGACAAGAATTTCCAGGCTTAATTAAGAATTAATAGGTGCCACCCATTGTGTTAAAATGGTGCAGAATGTGGAATACTTGGGCCCAAGAAATGCCATCCCAGCCTTTATTCACAGCTCCACCCACCAAAGCATTTGCCTCCAGTTAGAGCCCCAGAAATCAGATTTATACTGAGGAATTGTGTTCATTTAACCCTTCCAGGGTGTCACTGGTGAGGAGTGAATGGAAATCCGTCTGTGCATGATCCTGACTGCAAATTCCTTTGGGAACTGACAGAAAGAGGCAAAATCCTCTCACAGTGGTGATTGAAAACTTGCTGCAGGAAGAATGTGAGAAGGGGAGTTGTTTTAGGCATTAAATCAGTGCCAGTGCATGTTTTGCTCTGGGTATTTTTGGCATAGGAGCTGCTGTTGGTGGATGGAATTGTTTGAGCACTGGAGTGGTCTGAAACCAATTCATGCATTTCCCTTGGGAAGGAAATGGGATTAAATTTCCTCCTTTTACCAAGAACCCATCACAAACATTACTGTTCTCTGAATTCAGGCCCTCTGCCTGCAGCAGGTGAATTCTGGCAGTGTGCATAAAGGAGAGCTGCTTTAAAAAACATTATTTAATATCCATGGCATTTCTGTGACCATAACAATATTTCATTTAGCAATAACAACATCCAGTACACACAGCAACACCAGGAGTGGGCTGTTTTCAGTGGACAGATCTAAAATGTTGTTTTTAGCAGATCTAAAATGCACAGTTCAGCTCTGTGAATTTGACAGAGCTGAACTGTGCATTTTAGATCTGCTAAAAACAGATCTAAATCTGTTTTTAGCAGATTTGACAGCACTAAAAGAAGTTTGACAACACTAAAGGAAGTGAAATACCCTAATCCTGGGCAGGATTTTAAGGACTTTTCATAACAGTGATCACAGGGTCACTCTTTTCTTGCACCTGCAAGTCTTGTCTGGATGGAAAATGGGGGAGCAGCCCCAGGAAAGCAGGGCCAAGGATGGAGAAGGGGCTGTGACACTGGATCCCAGGTGTGCCAGGGCCAGCAGCTGTGGGCTGGGAAAGCCCTGCTGTCCCTGCAGGAGGCAGGAAATGCAGTGAGAGTGTTTGATGTGCTGCTGCAGAGACTCGTTTGAGTCATGCCCAAATGACAGCCCTGGTGCTTGGCAGAGGGGCAGGGATCTCCTGCAGCTCGGTGTTACTCACAGCTTTGTGCCAGGGGATTTATTCCAGAGGCACAGGAACAGCTCACCCAGCTGGACAGTTTGGAGCTGTAAAGAATCACCCACCCTGGCAAAGAGGATTTCCCTGGGTTCCCTCGAGGGAAAGGAGTTCTTGTTCCACAGGAAAACAGGGGCAGGGTGTTGCAGCTTTCATTTCAAACAGGTGAAGTGGGAAAAGCTGTGAAGGAGCCATTTGGGAACAGAAACACTGAGCTGGAACCTGAACAGGTCAAACAGGCTGAGCCCAGAGCACGGGAATTGAGAGGTTCCACAGAATGAAAGCTGGGAAAACCCCAACATGAAACACTAAACAAAGATTTTCTGCGCTTCTCTCCATTTTAATTTACAAAAATTGTTTCCTAATTTTACTGGGAAGCGTTGCCAGCTTTCAGTCTGGGTTTGAAGTGCAACAGGATCCTTCCAGAGGTTTGGTTTGGAGCTGGGGTGATTTTGAACTCCCCAGGTTCTGCAGTGGGTGATGATGAGCTGTGGTACCATGGGGGGATTGTTCAGCACAGCTCTGGATGTTTCCCTTCATTCCTGCAGGATTACTCACCCCAAAAAAGCTATTTATGCTGAATTGCTGCTGGTAATTCCACACAGGCAGTGATAAATATTGATTGCAGCTGGAAGGAGTGGGACACACCTGGGTGATCTGACAGCGTTTTCACACCTCTACCCATTAAAAATGCAGAAGGATTTGGGGTTTCCCTAAGCTCTTCCACCCATTTCCCTTAAATTGTATTCCTATTTTAATTGCACAGACAGCGAATCTCCGTCCGTGCTTGTATATTTTTAAGATAATCCCCACAAAGATGGTGGCTTGAGGAATGTAATAAAACTCCTTTTTTGAATCTCTGTGACACTGCAGATACAAACACCAGGAAAACCTCGAGGAAAACTGATCTGGAAAAATAAATTGAAATGTCAGAGCTCCCACTTTCCAAACAACAAAAGTCCTCATTGCTCTGGGAGGCTGACAAAGTTCTTATTAAGTGAAAGTAGAGTGAGGAAATTAATGAGGGAGGTGGGAGGTCTGCCTGGCACATGATGTGGGGACCCCTGGCTGGGGGAACAAAGCTCCCGTGTCAGTTTGCTGAGGAGGAGTGGGAAAGGGGGCTGTGGAAGCTCTAATTAGGGAGGTAATTAAGGGACAAGAGGGGGTTTTTTGGGTGTTGAGGAGTGTTTTGTAGCTGCTGCTGGGTTTCTGAGGAGTCTGACGATGAGGTTTCAACACCCTTTGCTGTGGGGTGAACTTAACTCTTGTGCAGCCACTGAGAAATGCCTGGGCTGGAGAGCTGCTCGTGTGGGCAGGCTCACAGACCCCAAATCTGTCCTTGTCCTGGTGGAGATGGCCAAATACAAACACACTCCACTTTCAGAAGGCTTCAGGCTTTTATTAGCATGTGTGCTTTTTATACATTCTTACAAAGCTCACAATTTACACTTCACTCATTGGTCAGGAAACACAAAGAAAGTGCAGGTTTCTCTTATTTGTGGTAATGACATATCCTCTGAACAGAGAGAGACAGAGGATTTTCCTGGGAAGCTGTGAGAAAACTTAGAGAAAAGAATTAAAATAATTCTTATCTCAATCTCTGTTTGTCAAAGATGTTTACAAGAAGGAGTTGTCCCTTCTTCACCAGTAGGTGAGAGAAGATTCCTAAAGGCCAATCCAGTCTTATGTCCACCATTGTTTCTAGAAGAACTGTGGATTTCTAATAATAAAGTGCTTTTCATACCTTCTGATAATGGAGATTCTGTATCACCTTTGTCTGTCCCCAGTTTCCCTTTGGTGACATTTATTTATCCTTTTTCTTTCTTGGGTTCCATGTCAGTGACCTTGGTAGGAAATTCTTCCAGGGAATAAACATGGGTCCTCTTCTCAAACTTCTGTCTGGCTCAGTGTAAAACCTCTCCCTCACCTCCCCAGTGCTGTAACACCCCTGTCCTGTGCTCCTGCAGCCCCCAGGGTCAACGGGCACCCCAAGCTGGACAGGCACCGGGAGCACCCCCCTGGCTACGACAGCTCCTCCACCATGCTGAGCAGCGAGCTGGAGTCCAGCAGCTTCATCGACTCCGAGGAGGATGACAACACCAGCAGGTACAGCCCTCAGGCCCCAGCCCTGCCCCCTGCTTGGCCCTTCTCAGTCCACCTTCTCTCTTTTTGTGGTTTTTTTTTGTTTGTATTGGGTTTTTTTGTGGTTTTTTTTTTAATTTCCTTTCATTTCCTTTGTGATTTCGATGCCTTTTGTGAAGGTTGCCCCAGAATAGAAGCTTGAAAGAGTTAAAGAAAAAAGCAGGGATTTATGAAAAGGATCTCCTCCATGGAGCCACCTTGGGCAGCACAAGAGCCCAGCCAGGCTGCACCCAAGGGACTAAAGCAGCTCAGAATGTGAAAAACAGAAAAGCCAAACCTGAGGCATCAGTTTGAGCACAGGTCCCTCATGAGTGACATTGTGTGGGATCACTGCTCAGTTTTTGGGTCCAGGCTCTGGGCCCAATACATAAATCTATGAGTTATATCTCTAAGCTATATCTAAAGATATTTTTGTTTTTCTTTAAGAACTCTTTAACTCTTATTGGGTCCAAACCACTGCTCCAGTTGAAAGAAAAGCTCTGCTCCTTTTCATAGCAAGAATGGCCACATTTCCAGATCAAAGCACTCTGCCTACCTCTTTATAAAGCACTGGTGTGAATATTAAAACAAAATACTGTCAGCAGAGATTCCTAATAAGTGTGCACTTCACTGGAGCTCAATTATGGAGGAATTCCTGGGTAATTGCATAGTCTGAGACCTGTGAGCAGTTCAGGAATTCATCAAAGTTAATGCTGGTGCAAAGGCAGCCTGGGCTGCCATGGATTTGTGGCTTCTTCATTATTTCTTTCTTTTTGTGTAGGCAGAGTGTGTGAATTATTCCCTACTTGAAGAATACCTCTCATTTCAAGACATCTTTGTTATATCTAAAGATATTTTTGTTTTTCTTTAAGTATCTTTGAGCCAATACATTTCATGGATTCAAAATACTTATTTTCATGGATGTAAAACCAATCTAAAGTATTTTCCTTCCTTTTCCTGGCCACGTTCTCTGGAATATTCTTCATTTTCCGGGCTCTAGAGCTGGTGTTCATCCCAGTGGACTCTGAAAATCCAGTGTGGATTTGTCAGGGTGACAGATCTCTGGTGGGTCACAGGGATCTGCAGCTAAAAAAGGCAGAACGTGAGATTTTTAATAAAACCAGCAAAAAGCAGCTACTCCTGGAGATCCTGAAGCCCTTGCTGCGTTTACAGACGTGAGCAGTTTGTGGATCTTGGTGGATCTGTTGGGTCTTGCAGTTGGCCAGGGTTTGAAGAGCTCACAATTCTGATTAAAGGCTGAGTGTTTCCAAAGGACTGAAGGGTAACTAAAATTCACATTGGAGATTTAGTCCTGAATTGGTTTCAAGAACTTTCTTTGCGGTCCCAGTGAGGTGCAGAGTGTCCCTGCACATGGCAGGGGTTGGAATAAGATGAGTTTAAGGCCCCTTCCAACCCAAACCACTCCATGATGAGATATAAAAAATCACCTTTCTGGGTATTTACCTGCATGGAGGGTTGGACCTTAACCCTGAATGCACCAAAGCCTTCAGGGCTTGGAGCCCACAACAACAACAAAACCCTGCAGCTGATTTGTGTTTCTTACTCTTCTTTGGGTAAATAAATTAACAATTTCCACGGCAGCAAGGCAGTGAGGCAGGATTAGCTCAGGGTGACCACATTAGAGCAGACCCAGCGAAATCTGTCTGAATAAAATAATAATAAAACTTCCTGAGTCTGACCTGAGAAGAAAGAGATTCTTGGAAGCTGCTGCTCCTGCCTTTCCCTCTGGAGATTGGGCAGGAGTTTTTGGCACAGGAGGAGCTGCCAGGCCAGCTAGTCAGGAAGAACCACTCGAAGGAATGCTCCAAGGTATGCTGTTGTGTTCCAGGGATGATGTTCTCAGGCACGGGAGACTTTGTGCTGGCAGGGAGAACTTTTCTGTAGAGGCAAATCAGGCAAAGAGCAAATGGAGAAGGTTCCAGAGCTGCTGGAGGCACCAGCCTGGGGACACAGGAGGGGTCTGAGGGGTGAGTTTGGGTCCTGAGGGACACGTCAGTGTGGGGACAGAGGGTTTGGTTCCTGGGGGACACATCCCCTGGGGTCTGAGGGGTCTGAGGGGTGAGTTTGGGTCCTGATGGACACGTCAGTGTGGGGACAGAGGGATTTGAGAGGTGAGTTTGGGTCCTGATGGACGCATCAGTGTGGGGACAGAGGGTTTGGTTCCTGAGGGACACTTCCCCTGGGGACAGAGGGGTCAGAGGGGTGAGTTTGGTTTGTGACAGCTGATGGACACATCCCCTGGGGAGAGAGGAGAGGTCTGAGGGGACAGTTTGGGTCCTGAGGGACACAGCCCCTGGCACAGAGGGGTCTGAGGGGTCAGTTTGGCTCCTGGACACATCCCCTGGCACAGAGGGGTCAGTTTGGTTCCTGGACACAGCCCCTGGCACAGAGGGGTCTGAGGGGTCAGTTTGGCTCCTGGACACATCCCCTGGGCACAGAGGGGTCAGTTTGGCTCCTGGACACAGCCCCTGGCACAGAGGGGTCAGTTTGGCTCCTGGACACAGCCCCTGGCACAGAGGGGTCAGTTTGGCTCCTGGACACAGCCCCTGGCACAGAGGGCTCTGGGGTGGCTCTGGCCCCTGGCAGCTGCGGGTTCTGCTGCAGGAGAGGCTGGCAGGGAGGAGGCACAGGAGCAGGAAATCCCAGGAAGGGATGCTGCTGCCCTGGCAGGGAAGAGTTGGTGAGGTGAGGATGCTTTTCTGGCTCTCTTGGGCTTGGTTTTAGTTGAATGGGAGCAGTGGAGCAGAGCTGGGTAATTCCCAGCCCAAGGAAGTTCTGTTTAATTCACCATGTTTTGGTGAATTAACCTGCTCACAGACGTTCCAGGACAGTGCAGAGTGACAGTGGGAGCACAATCATTTATTTCCTTTTTTTTTTCCCAGGTATTTGACATTTTTTTTACTAATTCTTTAACAAATTTTTTTTATAAATTGAATGTTTCTGTTGTTTGCAGGTAGGATTTTGAACACAGGTTGATGTAGGGAACTTCACAGTAAAAGCTTTTTTTCTGTCTTCTCTAAAGTAAAGGTCTAACAAATCTGACATCTGTAGCTGTAGGATTATTGTCAGCAATTGCTGCTCTCAGTTCAATGCAGCTAAAGGAATTCACTCCAAACAAATTGTTTATTTCTCATTTAAGAAATTACCATAATTTCTTTTTAAGCCATGTGGATAAGATTTCTTTAACAAATGTTGCCTTTTTTCCCTGTCATTTGGGAACTGTAGAATGGAAAAAAAATTATTGCTATTATTATTTTAACAGTATTTTTCAAAATATCTTCTGTGGTATTTATTGGCATTTGTGCTAGAAGTGCAGTCAGGGTTTTGAGCAGTAGCTGGTGCAGGAAATTAATTGGTAGTGATAATTCCAGATTTGTTTTTCATCTTTGCACTTTATTTGTCTCAAAAGCTCAAATTTACCACCTTGTCTTGCTCATCAGATGGTAATAATAACAATTTTACCCGGTATTTCTGGAGATGCTTCAGAGAGCAAAATATTCCTCATTAGAGTAGGTCTGAGCTGCTTTTTAGCATCCAGATGCTCCTGGAATATTAAGGATTCAGCAAGGATGCATTGAGGCTGTGGATTGAGCAGAAATCACAAGGAGAGATGATGGAATGTGCCAGAGCTCCATGAAAAGAGGTGTAAAAATGTTCCTGCAGAGCCTTCTGATCATCAGTTTTGTGCTGCTGCTGGGAGAGGCTGTTTTAACTCTTAATTTTTCCCTGGAATGTTTTGTGTCCCCCTAAACTAACCTGAGCTTTTCTCAGGAGCTGATTCTCATCCAGAATGGCAAAAATACACCAAGAACAACTTCACTTCTCACATGTTATCACCTGCTAACAGGGGCTCAGAGATTTGCCAAGAAAGTCTGGTTTTGCTGGATTAATTTGAGAGAAAAATGCACTTTTAGAGAGCAGGCAGCTTCACTGTGAGTGAGTGCCTTGGCTTTCCTCACATTCTCCCAAACTGGGGAGTTTTAGCAGAATCCTCTGGTGAGGGAAGAGGGGAGAGGAAGCAGGAAGCATTAAGGATTCAGCAAGGATGCATTGAGGCTGTGGATTGAGCAGAAATCACAAGGAGAGATGATGGAATGTGCCAGAGCTCCATGAAAAGAGGTGTAAAAATGTTCCTGCAGAGCCTTCTGATCATCAGTTTTGTGCTGCTGCTGGGAGAGGCTGTTTTAACTCTTAATTTTTCCCTGGAATGTTTTGTGTCCCCCTAAACTAACCTGAGCTTTTCTCAGGAGCTGATTCTCATCCAGAATGGCAAAAATACACCAAGAACAACTTCACTTCTCACATGTTATCACCTGCTAACAGGGGCTCAGAGATTTGCCAAGAAAGTCTGGTTTTGCTGGATTAATTTGAGAGAAAAATGCACTTTTAGAGAGCAGGCAGCTTCACTGTGAGTGAGTGCCTTGGCTTTCCTCACATTCTCCCATACTGGGGAGTTTTAGCTGAATCCTCGAGAGGAAGCAGGAAGGGGGAGAATATTGACAGCAAAATAAAAGAGGAGGTTTTTGTGTCAATCTTTGATGAATATTGAACAAGCCCAGTTTTGGGAGCCCTGGCTTTGACACCTCCTGATTTTTCCTGTTGGAAGGCAAAAGCTCCCAACCCCAGGTGCTGTGTGAGCTGTTCCACCCACCAGGAATTATCACATTTGGGATCTTTTTTTTTGTAAAATCCCACCTCTTGGCTCTTTATTTCCCTTGCTGGGAGGGGAAGGAGGAGTGTGTGAGGTTTACGTGCCTGAAATAGTTGTGTGAACTCAGGAGATTCACACCCTCTGAGCAGCTCCAGCAGCTCCAGGGCTGATTCTTGATAAAAATATTTCAGGCCAGAGGGGTTTCCTGTGGGCAATTCCTTTTTGGGATTGCTGGCATCAAGTTTTGGAGGTGTTCTCACATTCCTGCATGTGGCTGGAACATGGAAGGCAGGGTTGTGGAAATTGGGGGCAAAGCCTGGCACTGTTTGGTTTGTGTTGTATAAGGTTGGATTTTTTAATCTTGGTTAATTCTGGAGCATTGCTTTGTCTTTTTTTTTTTTTTAATTTTATTTTTTGGCCATTCTTACATATTAAATAGAGGAGAGATGTCTCTCTGGTGTTGAGGTGGTATCTTAATAATCTGAGCTTTGTTCCAGGCTCCTGAAATTAATTTGGGCAAATCCACTTCTGTCTCATTCTACTCTCTGCAAAGTGAGGATGATTAATGCTCCAAACTCTTAAAAACCTTAAAGATTTATATATAAAATGTGGCACATTTAGGTTCTACAAGTTTGGAGAGCCTGGAAAAAACAGCAAAATAAAATGTGTGAAGGTAAATCATATTGACTGTCCCCCTGTTACCAATTTCTATTTGATTTCTTTAAATTCAAGCCTTGAATTCCTGGTAACAGTGGAAGAAAATACAGCATCATGACAGGACTCACAAAAATGAGCATTAAGGGTTGCACTCAGAAAGCAAGAGCTAAATGAAATAATAATTAAATTATTCATGTGATCCCTGCTGCCCTTCAGCCCGAATCTCCCCCTGAGCTGTGTGTGTGATCCCCCCTGCCCTGCTGCTGCAGGAATCGGCTCTTGCAGGTGGCAGAGCCGTGCAGGGCTGACCTGTGCTGTCCTTGCCCTCAGGTTGAGCAGCTCCACGGAGCAGAGCACCTCGTCCCGCCTCATCCGCAAGCACAAGCGCCGGAGGAGGAAACAGAGGATGCGGCAGATCGACAGGGTAAGGCTGGCACCAGCTTCACCCACGGGGGTGAACTGGCATTTTTCAGTGGAGCTGTTGACTCAGGAAGGGATCCAGGACAGGTCTGTGCCTGTTGAATTCCCTGGGAAGGCTCCTTGTGGCTCCAGGCTGGGCTAAATCTCGGCATTTGAAGTTCCAAGTGAAGTTTCACCTCTCCCTTTCTCCTTTCACTGTGCAGTGATCCCATTTCTTGTCTTTTCCAAGACCAATCTCTGGAGGAGCAGCTCCATTATGGTGAGGGAAGGGGTGTGAGGCACCCTGAGACCTGCATTCTGCTGGAAGGAGAAATCCAGGTTCATAGGAAATCCCAGATCTTTGCCTCTGCCCTTCCCTGTGCCAGTCCTTGGCAGCAGGATGAGGGTGACCCCACGGACAGACCCTGAAGTCCCTGTTTTATTCTCCCATAAATCTCAGTCTCCACACATTAAAGAATGACCTCACACACATTTTACCACAGGATAGTGTTTTAGAAGGTCTTTGATAAGCACCTTTGTATTTAATTTTGGAGGCAGGGCAGTGTCTCTCCTCTCACCTCCTGCTGGATCATGTGCTGTTCACTCCTCCCTTTAGGGAGGAGCTGTGGGTGCAATAATTCACATTCCACTGGACACTTCAGGATCCAGGGTTTGCCTGTCAGGCACAGCCAGGAAGCAGAAATAATTCCAGGTGAAGTTCAGCTGAGAAACCTCAGTATAGGAACGAGCTCTGTGTGTTCTGTGATCAGACCTTTGGAGAAAGTGCAGACTCGGCTTAGATTGCTTTCCTTAAAGTTTCTAAATGAAGCATAATTTTGAGGAAGCCTCAATAATTTCTGGCTGCCTTTCAACTATAAACCTCTTAATCAATTTCTGATGAGTTAATCCTCAACAGTTCTTACTGTGAGCATTTTAAAACCTTGAGACTTTTTCTGTTGTGTTTTGCAGTCGTCCTCGTTCAGCAGCATCACTGACTCCACCATGTCCCTAAACATCATCACTGTCACACTCAACATGGGTAAGAGGACAAGCCACGTTTTTTGTGATGGATTTTGAGTGGTAGAGATGTATTTTGTATTTCTCTGGTTTCCTAATCCAGAACTGAGCCATTTTCACCAGCAGATCAGTGTTCCTTCCAGGGAAGGAGCTGGAACTGCAGGAGTTAATGGTGAGGGATTGGGGTAGAAGGGCACTGGGGGTTTGCATTTCTGCTGCTCCTGTGTTTCATTTGTCAGCCAGGCAGAAATGTGCAGGGCTGCCAGCAAATTCAGCACCTTTCAGCAGCACCAAACCCTCCTGCCTCTCTGACATGTGGAACAAACGTTGCTTAATGTGATCAGTGCTAATTTCCAGGTGTGGACAAGTCTTTTCAGTGTTCTTTCTCTTGCTATTTTTTTTAAGTAACACTGTCTTGAATGAAAAAATCCTGTCTTTAGCAGCCTTTCCCTGAAGGTGCCAGGCAAATATTCATCATTAGAGCAGCCTGAGATCATTGCAAGTCAAACCTTGCCCCGCTGAGATGTTCCAAAGCTGAAACAGCCTCGCTTTTTGCTGTCATTCCAATCACTTTGTCTGCTTTTTTTTTTTCCCTTCCTCACCCTCCACTCTGTGTCCATCTAGAAAAGTACAACTTCCTGGGAATCAGCATTGTGGGGCAGAGCAATGACCGGGGTGATGGTGGCATCTACACCTGAGATCATTGCAAGTCAAACCTTGCCCCGCTGAGATGTTCCAAAGCTGAAACAGCCTCGCTTTTTGCTGTCATTCCAATCACTTTGTCTGCTTTTTTTTTTTCCCTTCCTCACCCTCCACTCTGTGTCCATCTAGAAAAGTACAACTTCCTGGGAATCAGCATTGTGGGGCAGAGCAATGACCGGGGCGATGGTGGCATCTACATCGGCTCCATCATGAAGGGAGGGGCGGTGGCGGCGGACGGGCGCATCGAGCCAGGGGACATGCTGCTGCAGGTGGGTCCCTGTCCCCAAATCCTGCTGCTCTGCTCTGCCATGCCACCAGCCCCACGGGCTGCAGTCACCAGGGAACGGAATTTATTCATCCTCAGGGAAATGTGGCCAAAAGTCTGTTGAAATTGGTGATTCTTTGTGAGACTCTCTGAGAAATGAAATTTCAAAGAAAGGGAAGTGGTGACCATTAAATGGTGGAATGGAAGTGGTGACCAGGCAGATAAATTGGGGGATTAATGAAGTAATTAAAACACCTTTAACTTGCCTGCTGCAAAGGCTGACCTCTGCTCTCTGCGCTGTTTCAGGTGAATGATGTCAATTTTGAGAACATGAGCAATGACGATGCCGTTCGGGTTCTACGGGAAATCGTCTCCAAACCAGGGTGAGCACATCACAAAACCTCTTCCTCTTTATCCTCCATGTGCAGTTGTTGGAGCTGGAAAACCTCAGAGAAATCAACATTCTGATATCCATCAGCATGCCTGATCTCAGCTGTGAACTTCTCCGTGTAAATGATGAATAGGTGAGGTTGGTTCTGGCCAAAACCAACACAAACTGAGGAGTTGCCTGGTTTCAGCAGAGCTGTTTGTTTATGTGATGAGAATTTTAATATCTTAAGTGCTGATCATCCAACAGATTTCACCACCAGTGCTCATCATCTGTGCAAAACCAGGAACATCCTGATGTGCTTCATACTGAAAATATTATAAAGCTTCTCAAAATCATTCTCAGAATGTACTTGGCAACTGCTGGATAGGAATAAATTTGTTCCAAATAGTTCTTGCAGCATTTCCAGCTCGGCAGGAAATTTCAGAATCATCCTTAACCTGTTTTCTTTCTTCCTAGACCTATCAGCCTAACAGTAGCCAAATGCTGGGACCCTACTCCCAGGAGTTATTTCACCATCCCCAGGGGTGAGTACACATTTGGGCTCTTTGCTGGATTCCTGAGAAGCCCCTAAGATTCTGGAGTATTTTCACCTATTTTGGCATCTAACAGATTCTACCTGTTCAGTTCTTTTGTTTGTTTACTTTTGTATTGGGACCCTGGGGTTCCACTGCCCACTGAATTCCTGGGAGTTTTTCTCTTGGTTCACAGCTTTGGATCAAGCTCCTAAACTTTTAGGAGTTGATCTTAACCTTTCAATTCATAAAAGGTTTGGAAATAATTATTCCAAATGTTGAAAATCCTAATTTTCTCACAGTGAACTTTTAGAGAGAATGGAGTGTTTTGAAGATGTGAGGGAAGCAGCAGTGATACACATAAAAAATGAAAATTATCTTATTTTCAGTAGTAATAAAAGATGTGTGCTCATGTGACAAGCACAACTGCCTCCTGCTGGTGAGGGCTGTGCTGGAACCAGTTTGTTCCCAGTCCACAGAAGATGAGAGTGGCATTGAAGATATGGCTGGAATAAATGCAACTGTGGGAGCCCCCTTGAAACCCTTAGGAAAACCAGAGAAACAACAAGAAAACAAGAGAAAACCCCTCAGATCTTTCAGAATCTTGGTGTTTCGTGCAAGTTTTGACCTCATTTGCTGTCCTCTTGTGGTGGTGCAGACTGTGACACCTCACTCACACGAAACCTTCAGAAAACTGGAGAAACAGCAAGAAAACACAATGAAACCCCTCAGATCTCTCAAAACCTTGGTGTTTGCTGCAAGTTTTCACTCTGTTTTCTGGGCCTTTGTGGTGGTGCCGACTACGGCACCCCACTCACATGAACCCCTCAGAAAACCAGAGAAACAGCAAGAAAACCAGCGAAAAGCCCTCAGATCTCTCAAAACCTTGGTGTTTTGCTGCATTTCTGACCTCATTTTCCATCCCTTTGTGGTGGTGCCAACTATGGCACCCTACTCACATGAACCCCTCAAAAAACCAGAGAAACAACAAGAAAACACAATAAACCCCCTCAGATCTCTCAAAACCTTGGTGTTTGCTGCAAGTTTTCACTCTGTTTTCTGGGCCTTTGTGGCGGTGCTGACTATGGCACCTCACTCACATGAACCCCTCAGAAAACCAGAGAAACAACAAGAAAACCAGAGAAAAGCCCTCAGATCTCTCAAAACCTTGGTGTTTGCTGCAAGTTCTGACTCTGTTTTCTGGGCCTTTGTGGTGGTTGGCACCCTACTCACATGAACCCCTCAGAAAACCAGAGAAACAGCAAGAAAACACGATAAACCCCCTCAGATCTCTCAGAACCTCGGTGTTTCCTACATTTCTGACCCCGTCTCCTGTGCCTTTTGCTCGCAGCTGAGCCGGTGCGGCCGATTGACCCCGCGGCGTGGATCTCTCATACCACGGCCATGACGGGAGCGTACCCCCGTTACGGTATGAGCCCCTCCATGAGCATCACCACATCTACCAGCTCCTCACTAACAAGCTCAATTCCCGAGTCGGAAAGTAAGTCACCCCCTGGCCAGCCCAGGGCAGGGGGCTGCTCGGGGCCACCAGGCCCGGCCACGGGCACGGTGACAGCGGCGGCGCCAGCCAGGCCTTGAGTGGTTTCTCACGCTTGGGGAAGGCAGGAGAACTTTTGGCAAAGGTTGGAGGTTGATGTGGAGGTGTTCGGTCAGGGTTTTGGCTCAGGGAGAAGTGGTTGCTGGTGGATTTTAATGATAGGTTCAGGTTTTTCCACTCAGGGGCGTTTGGTTGGTTTTTAATAAATTTCAACAGTAATGTTCGCGTTTCATTTGGGAAATCCTTCCCTGATATTCACATGGCCTTCTTTTGTACTTTTACATCCTTTTTGTTCTTTTTTAAATTCCTGGAATTTTTTGAGCAAGCTAAACCAAAATGTAACATCCCACATGAAATTAGGGTTAGATTTCAACCTTTTTCCTGGTTTGGCAGACTGAAAGAGCCATACCCATGAAACCAAGAGGTTGGATTTTAAAGATAGGTTGATGTTCTCAGGTGGATGGGAGAGCTCCCTTCTTGAATTTGATTGGTTTTTAATAAATTTCAACAATAATATTCATGTTTCATTTGGGAAATCCTTCCCTGATATTCCCATGACCTTCTTTAATACTTTTTTGTGCTTTTTTTATATTCCTAGACTCTATAGAGCTAGCTAAGCCAAAATGTAACATCCCACATGAAATTACGGTTAGATTTCAACCTTTTTCCTGGTTTGGCTGTCTGAAAGAGCCACAACCATGAAACCAAGAGGTTGCCATGATTCAGAGAGGTTTCTTTAATTCAAAAGCCCCTCAGAGCACTCAAATCACAGAATCTTTTTAGGAAGGGAAGGGACCCAGAAGGAACATTGAGTCCAGATCTAAGTGAATGGCCCAGACAGGGATCAAATGTAACACCATGCTCCAACTCCTTATCTTGGAAAATCTGTTTAAAGAGTATTAACTCTTCCTTTTATTTAACTGAGAATGACACTTGGAGGATTTTAAAGACCTGTGTGGTATTGCTTATAAAGCACCTCAGATTTTATAATATATACTCCACCTCACCTTGAAAGGAAAGGCCAGGTTTTCTTTTTTATGCAGGTTTTTTTAGACATCAGGCAGCACCACTGAGGGGAAATAATCTGCAGCAGGAAGCAAACAAACCCTTTTCTGCTGCTGCTTTGTCCTGAGATGTGTTTTGAGTCTCAAACTCAGTGTCTCTGCTGGTTGCTGTACTCAGCATTCCTCTTGAACAATTCACGATGAATTCATGATATGCTGGGCTTGGCAAGTGGGCAACAGGCACCCTCTCAGTCAGACTTGGAAAATAAATGTATTTGGGAGCAGAACCACATTTCTGGAGGCAGCTTCTCATTTCTGTGCCAGTGGTTTAAAAGATTTCCTTTCTGGAATGCAAGGGAATAAAGGCTACCCCGATTTTTGTTGTGATCTCTTCCTTCAGCTCAGCCCTGTGACCTGCCCTGACCTGGGTTAGGTGAATTTTTAAAGCTGACTGAATTCAGACCCAAATGGGAGCATTGCAGATGCATCTCAGAATTTGCCATATTTGTACAACAGCCAGAACTTAGAAAATATCAATTTTCTGTTCATATTCAGCTCTCGGGTCTCCAAAAAAATACAATTTATTGCTCCCCAATATTAATTTGTTGGTGTATTTTTTTCCCCCAGACGTTGCTTTTTGCCACTAACCAAACTAACTTAAAGCAAAAGCAAAGTTTTAGTGTTTATTTGAGGTTTGTAAGTGTTGAAGCTGCATGCAGAGCTGCTCTGGGATGTTTTCATGCAGTGCATGTATGGAAAGAAACATTTCCAGTTTTCATTGTTTCACGCTTGCTGTACCTTTTTTTATCCAAAATTTTGGGTGGCTGGAAAAGGACAAAAGTGCTTTTGAAAGGTGGGTGATGTGGGGAACTGGGAGGGGAGGACAGGAGGGATTTGGAATTCCTGCTGGAGAAGGGTCTGGGCTACAAACAGAGATAAAAATGAGTTTTCTAGGGATGGAAGATGGGAAAGGAAGGAGGATTTGACAAATTCAACCTCAGGCCTGTTCTGGTTTTATTGTAAAAATGAAACCTCTGGGGATCCAGTTCTGCCCGTAGTGGTGTGAACTGGGAAGGGCTCTGGAGGCATTTGGGATTTTTTTTTAAAAATGTTCCACAAAAAAAATTGAGGGCAAAGCAATCCTGGGAGGAGTGGGTTGTGAGGGGACCCTGGGAAGGGTTTTTATAAGAAAATCCCTGATTTCTTCTGATGTGGGAAGATTTCTTTTATAATTTAATTTTCCCCACAAATATCCAGATTTTTAAATAAAAACGACCTGGGTTGAGCCATGGAGGGGGGGGACTCCTGAGAGTGAACCCCAAAAGAACAAACCCCAAAAACTTCCCCCAGGGTTCTCCATGGGGCTGTTCCTGGGAAACTGAAACGGAAAATGATGGATACAAAACCTTTGGGTTTCCTTTCCTACCAGTCTGAGAGGATCCTGCAGTGCTCTGGGATACCCAGACAGGGGGACTCAGCATTTCTGACCCTAAACTGGTGGCCTTGAGCCCAAAATCTGAAAAACTGCTGCAAATGCTGTAATTCACTCTGTGGATGAGGCTGCATTTGGGAACTTTTGTGTCTTTATTTTATTTTATTTTATTCTATTTTATTTTATTTTATTCTATTTTATTTTATTTTATTCTATTTTATTTTATTTTATTCTATTTTATTTTATTTTATTCTATTTTATTTTATTTTATTCTATTTTATTTTATTTTATTCTATTTTATTTTATTTTATTCTATTTTATTTTATTTTATTCTATTTTATTTTATTTTTTTATTCTTTATTTATTTTATTTATTTTACTTTAATTTTATATTTTATTTTATATTACATTTTTTAAATTCTATTTATTTCATTTCATTTTTTTGCACCTATTGGTAAAACTGTATTTTTCTTTCATCCAAACTGGGAGCTGAGAAGTTCCTGCAGCCTGAGCTCATTTCACAGCAGCCTGTGGCCTCTCTTCCCTTTAGAATTAGAAGAATCTCCCCTAACTGTGAAGAGTGACATGGCTACTATTGTCAAGGTCATGCAGCTGCCCGACTCAGGCCTTGAAATTCGGGACAGGATGTGGTTAAAAATCACCATCTCCAACGCAGTCATCGGTAAGGAGACCCCAGGAATGCTGAGAGGGAAAAACAGAGATTTCATGGAAACGGGTTCAAAAACTGCCTTTTAATGAGCTTTTGTCATGTCTGTGACCTCTTATATTCCATTTATGGGCAGGAAATAACTCTTGTGGCCATGTAGTGTTCAGCTGGCACAGCTTGGCACAGATAATTCCATTTTAGGTGTTCAGCTGGCACAGCTTGGCTGAGATAATCTCATTTTAGGTGTTCAGTTGGCACAGTTTGGCACAGATAATCTCATTTTAGGTGTTCAGCTGGCACGGTTTGGCACAGATAATTCCATTTTAGGTGTTCAGTTGGCACAATTTGGCACAGATAATTCCATTTTAGGTGTTCAGCTGGCACAGTTTGGCACAGATAATTCCATTTTAGGTGTTCAGCTGGCACAGTTTGGCACAGATAATCTCATTTTAGGTGTTCAGCTGGCACAATTTGGCACAGATAATCCCATTTTAGTTGTTCAGTTGGCACAGTTTGGCTTAGCTAATTTCATTTTAGGTGTTCAGCTGGCACAGTTTGTCTGAGATAATCCCATTTTAGTTATTCAGCTGGCACAGTTTAGCATAGATTATCCAATTTTTTGTTCAGTTGGCACAGTGTGGCTCAGCTAACCCCATTTCAGGTGTTCAGCTGGCACAGTTTGGTACAGATAACCCCATTTTAGATGTTCAGCTGGCACAGTTTGGTACAGATAAGCCCATTTTAGATGTTGACCTGGCACAGTGTGGCTCAGCTAACCCCATTTTAGATGTTGACCTGGCACAGTGTGGCTCAGCTAACCCCGTGTCCCCTCCTGCTGCCCCCCTTTCAGGAGCAGACGTGGTGGACTGGCTTTACACACACGTGGAAGGCTTCAAGGACCGCCGGGAGGCCAGGAAATACGCCAGCAGCATGCTGAAACACGGCTACCTCAGGCACACTGTGAACAAGATCACCTTCTCAGAGCAGTGCTACTACGTCTTCGGAGACCTCTGTGGCAGTGAGTTCCCAGTGGGGAGGACAGAGCTGTCCCCGGGTCACCTCTGGGCTCGTTGTCCCCTGGTGTGTCCTTGTGGTGAAGAGTTCCACGAGGAGGGATTTCCATGAGGGTGGCAGAGCTCTGGAGCTGCCCTGGGGAGGTGGAGTCCCTCTGGAGGAATTCCTGACACATTTCTGTGTCACCTGCTCCAGGACTGGACAGGGGCATCTCCAGGGGTCCCTTCCATCCCCGCCTCTGCTGGGGTTTCACAAGGGGTGTCCCAGAACAGGAGAACCCTTCAGCACCCTCAGGTTGTGTGACAAGTGCCCGGTGCTCCTTGGAGCCAGGAGAGCTCCTGGAGGAGGGTGAGCCCACCAAGGAGAGCACTGAGGGCAGCAGGATTGATTTCTGCTGCTGCCACACTGATGCCATAGGTTTTAGTTGTAGCTTTTCTCTTTTTCACATTCTGTACTGCTATCTCAGGTTTAGCTTTTCTCTTTTTCACATTCTGTACTGCTATCTCAGGTTTTTGCTTTTCTGTTTTCCACATTCTGTACTGATCCCTCAGTTTTAGCTTTTCTATTTTTCACATTCTATACTGATGCCTCAGGTTTGGCTTTTTTGTTTTTCACATTCTGAGCTGCTTTAGTGTGTGGGTCTGGGTTCACATCAGGGGATGGGGAGCTCTGTGCACAGAGCAGGGAGACAAAACAATTCCTGCTCCAGGCACCAAGGACAAATGATCCAAATCTCAGCCCAGGAGCACAAACCCCGTGGGCTGGAGAGAGAAAAGAACAAGAAGGATGAGACTTTATCATAAAGCTTATGAGTTATGAATGAATTATGAATAATTGGACAATTAATTCCAAGATGAAAATGGAGCAGAACTTGTAACAGTGAGAGACCCCATGAGTGGTCAGGGATTTTGGGACCATTTTGGTTCATCTCTGGTTCCTTTTGGGACCATTTTGGTTCCCCTTGGGCTCATTTTGGGACCATTTTGGTTCACCTTGGGCTCATTTTGGGACCATTCTGGTTCACCTTGGGTTCATTTTGGGACCATTCTGGTTCACCTTGGGTGCAGCCCTGGCTGGGCTCTTGTGCTGCCCAAGGTGGCTCCATGGAGGAGATCCTTTCCATAAATCCCTGCTTTATTCTTTAACTTTGTCTAGTCTGTTCTAGGGCAGCCTTCATGTTCCCTGCTGTCAGTCCCCCTCAGTCTCCAGCCTGGAAAAGGGGGATGTCCCCAGCCTGTCCTCACCCTTTCCTCCCCTCTCCCTGCTGGCTGACACGGCTGATCCCAGGGCATTGCTAACCTTCAAACCCCTCCATAAATAAATTCACATTTTACCTGCTGGCTGAGTTGTTTTCCCCTTTTTCCTTCCCCAGACCTGGCTGCACTGAACCTCAACAACGGTTCCAGCGGCGCCTCGGACCAGGACACGCTGGCTCCTCTGCCTCACCCCGCTGCCCCCTGGCCCCTGGGCCAGGGGTATCCCTACCAGTACCCTCTGCCCCCTCCGTGCTTCCCTCCAGCCTACCAAGAGCCAGGCTTCAGCTATGGCAGTGGCAGTGCAGGCAGCCAGCAGAGTGAAGGTAAGGTGGGTGAAAGGGTTGGAATTCCTCGGCTCTCATTGCCCCCCACCATCTGCTTGGGTTCCTTGGTGCTGGCCCTGCTTGTCTCGTGGTTTTTTGTGGTTGCTGCCTGCATGGATGGTGTGCAGTGATTCCGAGGTGTTTGTGGCTCTGGAGGAGGGGGTTTGGCTTTCAGCTCCCTGTGGGAACTGCCAGGCTTAGCCCAGCCAGGGATTGCCAGCAGTGGGCTTGGGGTGCTGGAAATGAGGGGATTTCTGGGCTGCTGGGACAGGGATTGGAGCCAAAGCTCTTGGCTTTCAGGTCAGTGCTCAGCACAAAAGGAAAATCACATTTTTTTCTAAGTGGGGGGTGGCCAGCCAGTGTTTCCAGGGCTGAAACACTGCTCCCAGGGAGGAGAGTCTCTGCTGGCATGTGTGACAGGACAGGAAGAGAATCCTGCATGGATTCAAGACCTTCCCTCCTCCTTCTCTTCCCTAGATTCATTTTTAACCTTAATAAATAAAATAATATCTTTTTTTTATATTGTTTCGCTGTACAGACACTATTTTTTAAATTTCTTTTTTTTTAAATCACTCCCAGAGTGAGTTTTGCTTTTGGAAGAGCTGCCAGTAAAGAAGGGGTGAGGATTCCTTGTGGTTTTCAGTGAACATCCAGTAAATTGGATGTCACTTATCCCTATTCCCCACAGCCAGTCAGATTTCACAAAATGGCACAAAAGGGTTTCATAACACAGGATTTTAGCCCAGCTGCATGTCACCTTATCCCAAAATAAGAAATATCTGAGGAATCTCACAGAGGTTTTAGAACTGGAAACTGATTTTCCCGGACAGAACATGGGGGTGGTTTTTTGGCAGCTGCTTCTGTGAGCAGTAGGAATTCTCTCCCTGCTGCTGGGATAGGAAAGGAAAGGTGGCTCTCCTAAAAGTGCCAGGGTGTTCAGCTCTGAAAGGTTTCCACTCTTTCCCTGGTGGAAAACAACTTCTGTGCTGTTTCTTGCTTTGTAACTGTTATTCCCTTGTTTTGTCCTGAGCAAGCGTTAGACTGAAGGATTCCTAGAGGAATGGCTGACTCTAGGGGATTGGTAAGCCTCAAATTCCTCCATGATGAATTCACAGCATGATCATTTTTAGATTCTCGTGACCCAAATGTTTAGCTGTACTTCGGTTTTGGTTTGTATTTTTTTTAATTTGAAATTTTATTTTTATTTTGAATTGTCTTGGACAATGTCTCAGTGGTGTGGCATTGGCATATCAACCTGTGGGACTGTGCTGCAGCAGCTCAGAGGGGAGGGAATCAGGTGGGAAAACCCCATCCCAGGCTCTCCAGAAAATAAATAGTCCAAATTTATTAGGGTGTCACCCTCTGGGCTGGATTTCTCTGCCAGTGCCCATTAATTGTGGCCAGGTGGCTCAGGCAGGGGTTGGGAGTGCTGGAGCACAAGGCTGCACTGCTCACTCTCAAAATTGTGTTAAATTTGGGGTTTTGTGCCCCCTCTCATTCATCTGCACTATTAAATCATAACAATCAGCAAATACCACTGCAGAGACTCAGGCTGGGAATATTCCTTAAAACCCAGTGGTTTTGTGGTGTGTTCTCCATCTCTCCGGCACTCTGCAGAAAATGCAGCCTTTCCCCCAAAATCCAGTGTGGTTTCCCATCTCTGCAATCAGCTGGAGCAGCAGAAAGTGATGGGAATCTGGAGCTCCAGAAGGAGCAGCCCAAAAGAATTCTGTTTTCCCATTTAGACTCAAAGCTGGTTCCCTGTTCTGCTGGCTGGGGATCCTTTTTGGGAAGTCCATCTTGCATGAATTTAATGAGATATTCCTTGGGTTGATTAGTTTGATTTAAAAAAAAAATAATTAGCTTGGAACTGTCTCCTAATCTGTCTGTCATGGGAACAGAGCAAGACCTTCAGTTTCCTTAAAAAATCAGATTTTGAAGTTTAGTGCAGCTGGTTTTGGTAACAACTCAGCTGATGCTCAGTGGCAATCCTTTGGTGTTCCAGGGTGATTTAGGGGCCTCTCTTGGGAACAATATCCTGGTGTTGCTGATTTGTGATAGAGCAGCTCAGGAACTCTTTCCTGGGGAATTCTCCAACAGCACAAGGCTTTAGTGAGGAATTTTAAAAGGATCTCCCCACTGAGGCCAACAAAACTTCAGGATTTAAGGGTGACAGAGAAGGCAAAGGGGTTTCTTTCAGAAAAGGTAATTTTAAAAGGATTTCTCCCCACGGAAATCAACGAAACCTCAGGGATTTACAGGTGACAGAGAAGGCGAAGGGATTTGTTTTGGAAAAGGTAATTTTAAAAGGACCTCCCCACTGAAGCCTCAAAACCTGAGGGATTGAAGGGTGACAGAGAAGGCAAAGGGGTTTCTTTAGAAAAAGTAATTTTTAAAGGAATTTTAAAAGTACCTCCCCACTGAAGCCAACAAAACTTCAGGATTTAAGGGTGACAGAGAAGGCAAAGGGGTTTCTTTTAGAAAAAGCAATTTTTAAAGGAATTTTAGAAGGACCTCCCCACTGAAGCCAACAAAACCTGAGTGATTCAAGGGTGACAGAGAAGGCCAAGGGATTTCTTTCGGAAGAGGTCCAAAATAAAGCAGAGACAATTAGAATTAAACCTCATTTGCTTGAGTCAAACCCCAAATTCCTGCTTTTTCCCCCCTCTCCTGCTGGGCTGCATTTGATCCAGGAGCTGCAACTCAGCTGCTGCTGTCACCGTGCGAGCTCGGAGCCGTGTCCGTGTGTCCCCATGCATGGCACCGCGCCATCTCCGAGCCACCAATGCCACACGGCACACACAGCAGGCCCAAACTCACCTTCCTCCTCCTCTCTTTGGGCTGGCAGGGAGCAAAAGCAGCGGCTCCAACCGGAGCACCAGCGAGAGCAGCAGGAGAGCGGCGGGCAGGGAGAAGGAGCGCAAGTCCGGGGGCAGCGGCAGCGAGTCGGAGCGGCGCGAGCGGCCGCTCAGCCAGCTCAGCCAGCGCTCGGCCAGCGACAGGAGCCACCAGAGCCACCAGAGCCAGCACTCCTACGGGCCCCCGGGGCTGCCCCCCTTGTACAGCCTGCCCAAGCTGGGCTCCAAGGCGCTGGGCAGCAGCGGGCCGCCCGGGGCGCCGCCGGTGCGCGAGCTGGGCGCCGTGCCGCCCGAGCTCACCGCCAGCCGCCAGTCCTTCCAGAAGGCCATGGGCAACCCTTGCGAGTTCTTCGTGGACATCATGTGAGAGGAAGTGCCTTCAAAAGACTCTGCACAGGGTGGGGGTTTTGTTGGTTTGTTTTTTGGGGGGGTGGGATGCTCAGTTGGAAGAGGCTTGGCTGTCTTGCATGTCACACCTTCCTGTTCGCGAGCGTGGCGCAGAAAACTAAAAAAAAAAAATCGACAAAACTGGACAAAAAAAAAGAAAAAAATACAAACCCCCCCCTACACACCTGCAAAAATGAACAACAGAATCTGCTGGGATTGTTAAATATCAGCAAATCGACGGCATCTTTTCCTTAGGTTTGTTTTTTCTCCCCTCCCCGTCTTGGATTGTGAATGGCTGGTGTATATTCACATCTTAATGAGCTTTGGTCATTGTGGCACCTCTTCAGTGGAATTAGTGTCTCTCTCTGGGCTGAGTGGAGGACTGGTATTTCACATGACTTCTAAATTCCTGACAATGCATAGGAGCACTTTGATTTTATTTTTTTTCCCTGCTTTTTCTCTTGCGAGGACAAAAGGACTGCTGGCTGGTATCTGGGATACTGCCTTGGAATGCTGGTTCTTGGATGCATCCCTGGCTCTGAGCAGACATGGCACCCACAGGTGCTTGGAAAGGAGCAGGATCCAACCAATTCCTAGAGGAAAACAAAGTTGTGGCTACTTCCTGCTGACTAGGCAGTATAAATCAATCTTTCTTGGGTTGTTTAAGGGTTTTTTTAAAAGATATTCTATCAAGGGAGTGCTGGAGTCTTGCTACTGTATGTGTTCATTGTGCAGAACTTGTCAAGTTATTTCCTTCAGTTCTTTCCTTATTTCCCAAGAGTGATTTTGCAGCTGCCCTCGGTTCCTGGGCAGTGCAGTCACATCCCTGCTGCCAGGCGTGCCTGTTCCCTCTGCACGTGCACTTGCTTGCAGGTTGGAAGAGTTATTCCCACAGAAACAGGAAAATTGCTGCAGGTCTGTCAGCTTTGCCCTTTTGAAGGGGCTGGGATCCCATTCCAGCAGAGAAATCCTGGCTCCCACTGGAACGTGGCTCTTCTTTGTGATCCCTCCTTCCTTTCTGAGCACAATCTGTCTCTTTTTTGTTAAAACAGAGACCTGGAGATGTCTGATCCCCCAGAGCACAGTGAGGTGTGAGGGTGTCTGAGAACAGACCAGAAATGGTACAAAAAGAAATCCTTACCCCACCCTGCAGCTCCTCAAAAAGAAATCCTTACCCTGAAACCGAGTGAGACCCACCCTGGAGCTCCCAAAAAATAAATCCTTACCATGGCACTGAGTGAGACCCACCCTGGAGCTCCCCAAAAATAAATCCTTACCATGGCACTGAGTGAGACCCACCCTGGAGCTCCCCAAAACTAAATCCTTACCCTGACTCTGAGTTAAACTCACTCTGGAGCTCCCCAAAAAGAAATCATACCCCTTGACAGCAAGTTATACCAACCCTGGAGCTCCTCAAAATGAAAACCTTACCCCTGACACCAAGTTAGACCCACCCTGGATTCCCCAAAAATAAATCCTTTACCCTGACTCCTCCTCCTGCTGAGGAGCTCTGCTGTTGAATATCCCCAAGATTTAATTCCTGGCTGTTTTCTGCTCCGAGGCTGTAGAAAGTAAAACTCAGGCAGCTTCAGGGCTGTTTAAGAAGATTTTTGAGGCATGGTGAGCACAGCCATGCTCTCCTGTGGCTCATTTGATGAGACAGGAGCTGCAGCCACTCTGGATTTCCTCTGTTAAATTCTCTTTTGTGGGATCCCTGCTGCTGCCAGGTTTTAGGGCAGGTGCTTTAAAACCAGTTTTTACTGTAAATAAGCATTTTCTCCACTGGTAAGAAGCTGCTTTTTGATCTGTTCTGTGCTTTTTGGGTAAATATCCAAGGTGGATGTGGAGAGAAATGTTTGTCTCTTACACACACAGTTCATCCTGAAAGCTGACCCTTCAAAATGTCTTTTTAATTCTGATTTTCCACTTCTTTCCTTTTTCCCTCCTCCCTTTGTCAGAGACTCCAGATGTCTGTGGGAAAGGGAGACTCAATTTCTCCTTCCCCGGGGAGCCAGGAATTTGGGGAACTCTCACTTAGCCCATTTCTGGGCTTCTAAATGAATTTCCTTTACAAAAACCTCCCCAAAAAAAAGCTGCCCAAGGCTTCTGGAAGCAGAGCTTCCATCACCACCCGGGGATGGCTCCTCCAAAAGAGCCTAAAGCTTGGCAGGACTTTTCTTTCCCTCCCCTCTCCTCCCAGATGCAAACCTGGCTTGGTAAAATTCTGAAATACTGCCATTAAATCAGGGTAACAGAGTGCTGGAAATCTGAGGCACTGCTGAGCAGTCTGTGACCTCACTGACAATCACTAGTGGTTCTACTTTTAAATTAATTGAGATTTTTTTTTCTGGCATTTTATAAATTATGATTTCTCTGGCTCTGTTTGTTTTAAGGCAGAACTCAAAGGGCTGGAGAAAAAAAGAATCTTTTAATATTTCCAAAAAAAGGGATGAAAGCTGGGCTGAGCTTTTCACCCATTTCATTTCCAAGAGCTGCAGTTCACACACCTGCTGGGGGTCTGGTTGTGTCTCGTGGTTTTGCTGTTGGCAGAAACTGTTCTGTGTCTTGCTGGTCTTTGCTGCTATGTTGAAAAATGACTTTTTTTTCCTAAATGTGTGTGCTCGTGGGTCACCCTGGGACGGGGCTGGGAGTCCCCAGCAGACGTGGGAATGGTTTGCTGAGGAAATCAGGAGGAGCTTCCCCCACTGCAGGGAAAGGGTTCACAGGTGGATCCTCTTGAACAGTGCAATATTGAACAGGGACACAAAAATCTGCTTTTTATCCCCATGCTGGGCTGGAGGTTGGGTCTGAATCTCTGCCAGCTCTGTTTCCTCAAAGGAACAAAAATGAGATTTCCCAAATATTGAACAGTGACACAAAAATCTGCATTTTATCCCCATGCTGGGCTGGAGGTCAGGTCTGAATCTCTGCCAGCTCTGTTTCCTCAGGGGAACAAAAATGAGATTTCTCAAACCCAAATATTGACCAGGGACACAAAAATCTGCGTATTTCCCCTGTGCTGGGCTGAAGGTCGGGTCTGAATCTTTGCCAGCTCTGTTTCCTCAGGGGAACAAAAATGAGATTTCCCAAATATTGAACAGTGACACAAAAATCTGCATTTTTCTCCTGTGCTGGGCTGGAGGTCAGGTCTGAATCTTTGCCAGCTCTGTTTCCTCAGGGGAACAAAAATGAGATTTCCCAAACCCAAATATTGAACAGTGACACAAAAATCTGCATTATTTTTCTCCCTGTGCAGAGGCTGGGCTGAAGGTTAGGTCTGAATCTTTGCCAGCTCTGTTTCCTCAAAGGAACAAAAATGAGATTTCCCAAATATTGAACAGTGACACAAAAATCTGCATTTTTCCCCATGCTGGGCTGAAGGTCAGGTCTGAATCTTTGCCAGATCTGCTTCCTCAGAGGAACAAAAATGAGATTTCCCAAATCCACCCTTGGCCTCCACCCTTTGTGTCTTTGCAGCCCTGTCCTGCTGGGCACAGCATTCACTCCCTGTGCCAGCCGTGCCAGGGGAGCTGCCCACAGTGGGAATTGTGCCAGGGGAAGGAGGATGTGGAGGCTGGAGTGCTGCAGAGGCAGCATTGCTTACCCACCAGGGCCTGGAATTGAATTTTGCTGTGCAGGGCTTGGGAACACCTCAGAGCAGGAGCCTGAATAATTGGACTAAAGCAATTCTTCTTCAAAAGTTGTTTTTTTCAAATAAATAATTTTCATTCTGCAGCTGAGCTCCTGCTCACCCATCCCTGCAGCAGGGATGTCTGGGGGCTCCTGGAGAAGGAGGAGGAAACATTTTGGGGTGACTTCTCCCCAGGATCTGCACCTGGGCTGTCTCCACCCAGTATTTGAACCCTGAAAAATAAAATTTTTTGGCAAATATAGTCTTAAAAGCATGCTGGTGTCTTTTACCTCCTGCTAATGAACCTGCTTTTCCAAGGAATCAGTGCCCTGGACACTTTATCCAAAGTTTTATTGGATGGCAAGCAATGATGCACAGATGTTGACTTTTGGTAGGATTTTTGTTCTCTCTGATTTTTGTTCTTTTCCCCTCCTGAGACTTGACAGCTCATGGGTTGATGTAATTGTTTTGGTTTTATTTTTATTTTTAATTTTTATTTTTTGTTTTTTTTTGTTCTGCATTTAACTGGATTGTAAGAAGATTGACTTAAAATTATTAATTCTAATCAGTGATTAGAAATACATGTAAAGAATTTAATGTACAGTAGAGGAACAAAGTGACATGATTTTAAATAATGAAAACCCCAGACTATCACCTGTCCTAGAACTGGTTCTACTCCAAGAGTGACCTCTCGTTAGCATGGACTGCACTGTTCCTGTTAATTGTCTATTGCATAATGGAATTCTTTTTTGTAGATATTGTATGAAAACCCAAGTGTCTGTATAGTTAATATATAGCTGCTTACGTGTAAATGCTATTTTAAACACTAAAAAGCTTTTAATTTTATGTGATAACCACAGTGTGTGTGTTCAGTTCTTTGCAGTATTTCGTTGTGATTTATTTCATAAATATTGACCATTTTTGGGCTCTCCAGCAGAAACAAAGATCACTGGGATTTCCCAAACATTGAACAGGGACACAAAAATCTGCATTTTTCCCCATGCTGGGCTGAAGGTCAGGTCTGAATCTTTGCCAGATCTGCTTCCTCAGGGGAACAAAAATGAGATTTCCCAAATCCCAAATACTGAGATTACCCAAATATTGAACAGTGACACAAAAATCTGCATTTTTTTCCCCATGCGGGGCTGAAGGTCAGGTCTGAATCTTTGCCAGATCTGCTTCCTCAGGGAAACAAAAATGAGATTTCCCAAATATTGAACAGTGACAGAAAAATCTACATTTTCCTCCTGTGCTGGGCTGAAGGTCAGGTCTGAATCTTTGCCAGCTCTGTTTCCTCAGAGGAACAAAAATGAGATTTCCCAAATATTGAACAGTGACACAAAAATCTGCATTATTTTTTCCCAAAAAATAATTTATTTTACCCTGTGTAAACTCTGCTGAGCCTTGGGTTTGTCAGGACACCCTGCAGGCTCTGAGGGGCTCAGCTGCACTCAGATTTAAAGGTTTTTCCAGCCTAAATTATTCTAATTTTGCAGCTTAAATAAAAAGAACAAGCACAGCTTGGTGAAGCAGATTCCTGCTTCCCAGCTGGCACAGAGCACACAGCAAGGGGAGAGTGAAACATCATTTAAATCCATGAATCCCTGCATTTGCCAGTGAGGAGAATATGAAATGGTCAGGTTTAGGTGAATATTAAATAATCAGAATTGAAGTGAATATTAAATGGTCAGAATTTAAGTAAATATTGTCAGAATTTGAGTGAATATTAAATGATCAGAATTTAGGTGAGTATTAAATAATCAGAATTTAAGTGAATATTAAATGGTCAAAAATTAAGTGAATATTGTCAGAATTTAAGTGAATATTAAATTGTCAGAATTTAGGTGAATATTAAGTGATCAGAAATTAAGTGAATATTAAATTGTCAGAATTTAGGTGAATATTAAATAATCAGAATTGAAGTGAATATTAAATGGTCAAAAATTAAGTGAATATTGTCAGAATTGAAGTGAATATTAAATGATCAGAATTTAAGTGAAGGGCAGTGCCCCTTTTGTGCCACCCACACCGCTGCTGGCACCTGCCAGAATGTTCCTTTTGCTTCTCTTTTATTGGATGGGTTTGACAACTCTTACAAGGATGGGGAGAGGATTCCTGGATCTGTCTCTGGAGCTGTTAATTAATAAGAAAAGGAAATTACCACAAGTGTTTACAGGGAAGTGCTGTTGGTGACTGACATTGCCAGACTTGAGGGATTGGTGTAAAATTCCATTTCTGGAGGTTCTTTCAGTAACTACACCTCATTTTGGCTCCATTTTGGGGCTGAGATGTTTCCAGACAGGATGGAGGCTGCTCTGGGCTTGCTGAGCCCTGTCCTTCCACAGCTCTAGCTCAGATGTGATTGTTCCTGGGCCCACAGAATGCTCATAAACAGGATTTTCTCCTTAAAATCCAACTTCTATGAGGAGCAGGGCGTGCTTCATTGTCTGTCCTGTGGCTGCTCCTCAGAGAGGTTCTGGAAATAATCCGCCGTGTTCAGATCGGGCCTGAACACCAAGATGTAGCACTTGGGCACGAAGTAAGCGGCCAAGATGCCCAGGGTGGTGGCCAGGATGGTGCAAATCTGCGTGACAGCCCTGAGCACCGTCCTGAGCGTGGCGAACATCACCACGAAGAAGATCCAGACGATGAAATAGATGAGGGTGGCGAAGGTGATGCCCCTGGCCACGTTGTACCTCCTGGCCGGGCTCTGCACCATGAAGGTGCACAGGAAGCAGGCGAAGGCCAGGCAGCTGTTGTAGCCGTGCAGGAGGGCAAAGGCTGCCCAGGACTGGGTGCCACACACCAGCAGCACCTCGCTGGGCAGCGATTCGTAGTCAGCCACCAGGTAGTCAGGGCCCAGGCGGAGGTGGCACAAGCAGAGCAAGGCCTGGACGGTGACGGACGCGGCCACCGTTAGCCAGGCCCTGCCGTGGGTCACCCAGCGCAGCAGCCTGGGGGCACAGCGGGGGAATTCTGTCACCAGGGTGATCTCCAGGGCCTTGGGCAGCAAGGTGGAGAAGCAGCCGTTGAGGCACAGGGCGTAGGAGAGCTGCTGCAGGCAGCACAGGGCCGTGCTGGGCCTGCCCACGTACAGGCAGCAGCTGAGGCTCTGCAGCAGCAGCCAGAGCAGGCCGAGGAGGCTCCTGGCACCTCCTGCCAGCTGCACCAGCGGGCTCTGCAGGTGCCTCAGGAACAGCAGCGCTGCCACGCAGCTCAGGCCCGCCGTGAGGGCCGTCAGGGTCAGCAGGGCCACGGCCAGGGGCTCGTCCCAGAAGAGGAAGCGCTCGCTGCGCGGGTGGCAGCGCGTGCTGCGCGCCGGGGCCCACTGGTGCCGCGGGCACGGCGAGCAGCTGGTGCTGTCTGCAAAGAGAGGCCTTGGGGCACTGGGGGCTGCACCCTCAGGGTGGGTCTCACAGCGGTTTGGGTGGGGGTTTTTGTGTTGGAGGGTGAAAGTTTGTGGTGGGTCGCACTCTGCTTTTCCACCCTCATCCCTGAGGGATCCGTGTGTTTCTTGCCTGTTTCCCTTCCCCAGCAATGCCAGGATTTTTTCCTCTGCCTCTCTTCTACCCATGCCCCCAGAATTGCCTCATACCCCTCTCTCCTAGCTCTGCAGATGAAACAGAAATGTTTGTCCTCATTCCTTCCCTCTGGGCCCAACAGGGGCAGGTCCCCAGTGAGGAGCAGGACAGGGAGGGACCCCTGGCAGAGATCTCCCAGCTCATCACCACCCCAGCCAGGAGACAGAATAATCCAGTCAAAGCCTTTCAGCCGCCCAGACCTCACCTGTGCTGCTCCAGAAGGTGTTTTCTGCGCAGTCTGTGCAGTCATAGCAGCAGAGGTTGAATCCTTTTATTCTTCTCACTTGTCCTGGTTGGCAGCGCCTGAAGCACTCGGATGTGGGCTCCTGGCAAAGCAGGAGTGAACATCAGCCAGGCACCTCCAGGAGAACAAATCCCCAGCAGATCAGGATTATCTGTGCTGTTTTTACCTTCTTGTCTGTGGTGTGGAAGGGGATCTGGGACTGGCGGATGTACAGGGACTGGTCATAGTCGCCCACGGGCAGGTAGGTGAGGGTGCCATCGTCCCTCCAGGCCCACGAGATGAGTTTGTACCCCGTGTTGGTGCTGTGGGATTGATCAAACCTGAAGCTCTGGCCGTTCACCTCGAACGGGAGGGTGTTCATGAAGTGCAGCAGCTGGGGAGGAAATGAAACCAAAGTCGATTTTGGTCCAGCTGTTCTCATTTGGAGGGTGACAATTCTGCAGGCTGACATCAGCTGTGCCTTAGGTGGGCCAAGATGGTGCCAACCTGGCTGTGAGGTGACAAAATCTGGCTGTTTGCCCTCAGATCACCTGTGGATGCAACAGCCTGGTCAGAGAGCAAGAAAACTTCATGAAACCAAAGTCGATTTTGGTCCAGCTGTTCTCATTTGGAGGGTGACAATTCTGCAGGCTGACATCAGCTGTGCCTTAGGTGGGCCAAGATGGTGCCAACCTGGCTGTGAGGTGACAAAATCTGGCTGTTTGCCCTCAGATCACCTGTGGATGCAACAGCCTGGTCAGAGAGCGAGAAAACTTAATTTTCTCACAGTGGGCTTGTGAGACTTTTTAGGGATTTGTAGAAAAATGATGGTAACTTGTTAATATAAACAACCTGCAGGTGCTGTTTTCCTGCTCTGATTTTCTGTTTGTGAGAAAGATGTTTTTGTTAATTAGCCAATGAAGCAGAACGTGTCAAATCTGTCTATGAAAGAGAGGATTTCCCTATTAAACTCCAAGGGGACTCTCCTGCAAACCTGTGCCATGTCTGCCACTCACCTGCCAGGACCTGATGGGTGTTTTGGGACAGCCCTTGGAGGTGCAGCCCAGGGCCCTGTGCAGGGCGTGGGCGATGCTGTACACGGCCACGTGCACGGGCTGCACCGCTGTCACCCCCAGCATGGGCCAGATGTCCTGGAGGGTGACGTTGGCGCACTGCCGGCACTGCGTGTCCAGCACCTCGGCGTTCATGCGGCGGCCCAGCTCCCTGGAGCGCCGGCAGAACTCCTGCTGGGTGACGGAGCTGAAGAGCTCCTCCACGTACTCCTGGAAGCCAGGCACCGTGCCCGTCCTCATGACAAAGCCCAGCACCGTCCCGACGCTCCGGATGCCGGGCGTGGAGGCGGCCACATCCGACAGCATCCAGGTCTCGGTGCCGACCCAGACCTTCTTGCCCAGCCCCATGCTGAGGCTGCGCTCCAGCAGGGCCTGGGCAGGCTGGCTGTGCGCAAACAGCACAATGACGTTGACTTTGGTGCTGTTAATTAACTTAATTGTGTTCTCCAGCTGCGTGCTGGCGCCGGGCTCGGCCAGCTCCGTGGGGATGAGCCCCTCGAAGGCGATGCAGATGTTGCTGGTGGCAGCCACGCTGAGGAAGAGGGTGAGGGCCCTGCGGCCGTACTCGTCGTCGCTGGCCGCCGCCGCCACCCAGTTCCAGCCGAAGTGGTTGAGGAGCAGCACCACGGCCTCCACCAGGTTCTTGTCGCTGGGCACCGTGCGGTAGAAGGACGGGTAGAGCTCCGTGTTGCTCAGGGTCTCACTGCTGGCTCCGTAGCTCACCTGGGGCAGGAAGAATTCCAAAGAATTCCAAAGAATTCCAAAGATTTATGAAACCTTTATCAAAAGTACAACAGTGAATAGAGAAGATTTCTCCAAGGCTCGGGAAAGGATTCATGGATGCATCTCTGGAGCTGCTGAGTAAGAGATTTGCTTAAGAAATTTCTGTAAGGAATTTATATTAATACTGGAGAAATTTCTATAAGAAATGTATATTAATATTTAATAAATTTCTGTAAGAAATTTATATTAATACTGGAGAAATTTCTATAAGAAATGTATATTAATATTTAATAAATTTCTGTAAGAAATTTATATTAAAACCTAAGAAATTACTAGAAGAAATTTGATGAGAAAAGGAAATTGCCAGGAGTGTTTACAGGGTGAGACATTCACACAAAAGGTCAGTTCTGGAGTTTCTTTCATTACCTAAAAGGGAGAATTCTGCTTCTCCAGAGAGGTTTTACCTGTGGGATGAGGAAGGAGCTGAAGAGCTTGGCCGTGAGCAGGCACAGCTCAGACTTGGGGGGGAAAAAAGGGAAAGGCTTCCTGGATGCATCTCTGGAGCTGTTTAGTAAGAAATTTCTATAAGAAGTTTATATTAAAACCTAAGAAATTTCTATAAGAAATTTGATAAGAAAAGGAAATTACCACGAGTATTTACAAGGAAGTGTCAAGGTAAGACATTCATACAAAACCCCAACTCTGGAGCTTGTTTCACTCCCCAAAAGGCAGAATTGAGGCTCTGCAGAGGATTTACCTGTGGGATGAGGAAGGAGCTGAAGAGCTTGGCCGTGAGCAGGCACAGCTCCGACCTGTGGGGCCCGATGACGGCGCTGACGCGGGGCTGGTACTCGCTGTAGTCGCACAGCACCCCGATGGCCGCGGTGCCGTTGTGGCTGAGGAAGAGGAGGCTGGGCTGCAGGGCCACCAGCGGCTCCCAGCACGTGTCGTACATGTCGTAGCCCAGCGTCACCCCCGGCAGCAGCCGGCTGGAGTTGTTGATCTGCTCGACGGCAAATTTCATGGCCAGCGCCCAGATGAGCCCGTCCGTGAAGAGCCTGGCGGGGGACACGGGACAGGGCTGGGCAGCGGGCACGGGGCTCCTGCCCGCCGGAAAGGCTGCGCTGCATTAGGTGTTTTATCCACATTACTGACTTGATGTGTATTTTTATAGAGTTGTTTCATTGGCATTACTGATTTTTATACGTATTTTTATAGAATTATTTTATCCTCATAACTTATTTTTATACATATTTTTATAGAATTATTTTATCCACATAACTGATTTTCCCTTTTCCCACCCCAGAACCCCCAGATTTTCCCTTTTTCCCCCAAAGCAGCTCCGACTCTCCCCTGTCCCACCCCAGAACCCCAGATTCCCCTTTTCCCACCCCAGAACCCCAGATTTTCCCTTTTCCCACCCCTGAATCCCCAGATTTTCCTTTTTTTCCCCCAAAGCAGCTCCGAGTCTCCTGTGTCCCACCCCAGAACCCCAGATTCCCCTTTTCCCACCCCAGCACCCCAGATTTCCCCTTTTCCCCCAGTCCAGCCCGTACCTGTGGCAGAGCAGCAGGGTGGGCTCGGAGCGAGCTGTCAGGTTCACCGTGTCCTTCCCAAAGGGGAACAAACCCCCCAGCACGAAATCCCCCGGCCTCCTGAACTGGGCTGAGAGGCACGAGGGGCTCAGGGAGGCAGCCCGGCCCCAGGCCAGGCACAGCCACAGCCCCAGCAGCTGCATTTTGGGGGAAAAACCTGGGAAAAGGAAACTCAGCCCTTCCTGCAAGTCCCTTTAAATAGAGATGGGATGGGGTTGAAGTGAGGGGAATTTGTTTAGCAAAATGCATTAAATTCCCTTTAAAGAGAGTAAAAACCACTGTGCCCATCCTGATTTCCTTCACTGAGGAGCTTTTACTCAGTGATTTACAAATTCACTGGCACTGCTGTGGAAATTTGGGTTCCTCTGGCAGAGGTGACAAAACTCAGATGCCCTGCTCTAATTCTGGTAAAAGATTTACACAACAATCATTGTTATTTTTTAAATTTGAGGTCATCTCATCATGGCAATAACCAAATCAGGGAGGCAGCACAGCCACAGCCCCAGCAGCTGCATTTTGGGGGAAAAAAACCTGGGAAAAGGAAACTCAGCCCTTCCTGCAAGTCCCTTTAAATAGAGATGGGATGGGGTTGAACAATAAAGAGAAATTTGTTTGGCAAAATGCATTAAATTCCCTTTAGAGGGCAATAATCAAATACTCTGTGAGTAAAAACCACTGCCCTCATGCTGATTTCCTTTACTCAGTGAATAAATTTCCTTTACTCACTGGGCAATAATCAAATACCTCTGAGGGCACTTGGGTGTAAATCCTGATTTCCTTTACTCAGTGAGGAGCTTTTACTCAGAGTGATTTACAAATTCATTGGCACTGCTGTGGAAATTTGGGTTCCTCTGGCAGAGGTGACAAAACTCAGATGCTCCACTCTGATTCTGGTAAATTATTTACACAGCAATCTTATTTATTTATTTATTTATTTTAATTTGAGGTCATCTCATCATGGCAATAACCAAATCAGGGAGGCAGCACAGCCACAGCCCCGGCAGCTGCATTTTGGGGGAAAAAATCCTGGGAAAAGGAAACTCAGCCCTTCCTGCAAGTCCCTTTAAATAGAGATGGGATGGGGTTGAACAATAAAGAGAAATTTGCTTGGCAAAATGCATTAAATTCCCTTTAGAGGGCAATAATCAAATACTCTGTGAGTAAAAACCACTGCCCTCATGCTGATTTCCTTTACTCAGTGAATAAATTTCCTTTACTCACTGGGCAATAACCAAATACTCTGTGAGTAAAAACCTCATCCTGATCTCCTTCACTGAGGAGCTCTTACTCAGAGTGATTTACAAATTCACTGGCACTGCTGTGGAAATTTGGGTTCCTCTGGCAGAGGTGACAAAACTCAGCCCCACTCTGCTAAAAGATTTACACAGCAATCATTTTTATTTCTTTATTTTTACATTTGAGGTCACCTCATCATGGAAACAACCAAATCTTCCTGAGGATTTGCCTGGAGAGGAAATTCCTGGGTCTCAGGCTTGGTGAGCTGTCACTCAGCTCTACTGATATTTTTTAGGAAGTTTTTACTAGCTGATCTAATTTTTTTTCCCCTCTAGAAACTGAACTAGAATATTAATTTCAGTTTAAATCTTAAATCTGAGTTCACAGCATGGTGATTTAGGTTTTATTGCTGTATTTTATTGTTGGATTTTAGGACAGCTCTGAATGAAAAGTTCAATTTCCTGCATTTTCTGTATCAGAAAACTGCTTTTGCTGCCAAAGGGATGCTCCAAGGCTGGAATATTTTCATTTCAGGAAGAAAAGCAGAGACCTGAATACAGGAACAACCAGCTGCAGTTGTGTTTTCCAGGTATGTTCACACTGACTTTTTTTTAAGCATCCTTTCCCTTTACTGGACTATTTAAGTGTCAGTTTAACTATAAAACTTTTAACAATAAGTTCTAAACCCAATCCTGAATTTTGGGCACATTAATCTTCAATATTAGCAATGGTAATTATAAATATGAATATTTATCTCTGAAGAGAAATAGTTAGAATGAGTGTGACAAGGGAGAAGAAACATTTTCCTTGTGCTCATGCATCATTTCTAGAGATCCAAACCATTTTTTTCCCCTTGACACACATTATTTGATTCAGTTGAAGGTATTTAATTCACTGCACAGCTGAGTATCAGCTGGGCTGATCTCCAGGGAAATGAAACGGATTTTTGCAGTGAAGTAAAACCTGAGTGGGTTTTCTGTAAATGTTGCTCCTGCCCCAGGTGAGATCCCACAAAGGACACTCCTCAAAAGCACATTCTTCACATCATTTAATGTCCAGTGAGTCCAGTCTCCATGAGGTAAGAGTGATTTCCTGAATTTGTCACTGTTCCAGAGAGACAATCAGCCTGCAGCACCCCTGCAACCCTGGACCAACCCTGCAGGGCTCCCCAAGCTCAGCAGATCCCTCTGGCTCTTCCAGGAGCAGGCAGAAACCTCCCAAAGCAGTGATTCACAGTACAAGTGTGGATCTCCCTCCCCAGAGAGGCAGAAAAATCCTTTTGGTAGGCATTGAACACATTGATAAAAATAAAAAAGAAACACACGAGAACACAACTCGGAAGCAAACAGCTCCAGGCTGGGCTGGACAGAGGGGATTGTGCAGCAGAAATTAAAATTTCTGCACATCCCAAGTGCAAAAAACATTCATTTAACAGGGAAGGGGCACAGAGGGAAGGTGCTGCTGGGGGGATCCTGCTCCAGGAATGCTTTTCTGCTCCATCCACCCCCAAACTGACAGGGAAAGGGCATTTCCCCAGGGCACTGCTCAGCATTAAATCCTCCAGGTGGGATTTTTGTACAAACCAAAGTGTGTAAATGAGTTCAGACACCACAGCTCCAATTTGTGCTGCCACACAAGGCCACAAATATTGCTGGAAATGCACAGAAGCTGCTGGAGTTGGGCTTGAGAATAAAAAACCTTCTCCAGCTTGGCTGGGAATAAAACAAAAAATCAATCCCATAGCAGCTCATCCTAATGTGGAATTATTTTTCTAATTCTACACAGCACCTTTTAATGTGGATTTTTTTCTAACTCTAGAGATGTAAAAAAAGAACTGGCAGATGTAAAAAAAAAAAGTGTAAAAAAACTCCTATTCCATGTTTATAAAGTGGAATAACTTGGCCATCAGCTCCAGGCTGGAAAGAAAAAGTGGAAATAAGCACACACAGAGAACCAGAGGGTTGTGCTTGTGCAAAAATGTCATTGTCACCCACCAGGGAGGTCGAGCAGCTTGTGCTGAGCAAAGAGCTCCTGGGTGATGCTGTAGGCTAGGAATAGAAAAAAATAAATCCCTTAGCAGCCCAACCTAACGTGGAATTTTTTTCTAACTCTAGAGATGTAAGAAAAGAACTGAGGGATGTAAAAAAAAAAGAACCGGTCCATGTTTATAAAGTGGAATAGCTTGGCCAACTTTCCATCTCCAGGCTGGAAAGAAAAAGTGGAAATAACCACGGACAGAGAACCAGAGGCTTGTGCAAAAGTGTCTTTGCCACCCGTCAGGGCAGGTCGAGCAGCTTGTGCTGAGCGAAGAGCTCCTGGGTGATGCCGTACACATCGCCGATGTAGGGGATGGCCTCCCCCAGCATGGCCACAGCCTCCTCGGCCGAGCCCACGTTCATGATCTCCAGGAAGGCATCCCGGGAGGGCAGCGTGCAGAACGCCACCGTGGCCGCCTTGCGAACCACCCAGGGGTGGTGCTCGGCCAGCGAGGCGTTGTAGGCGTCGGTGCAGAGCACGGAGGTGCGCGGCTCCCCGGAGCGCAGCCCCTCGAGGAAGAGCTGCAGCCAGCGCAGGGCGCGGTGCAGCCGCAGCACCGTGCGGCAGCCGGAGTCGGGCCGGGCCCGCAGCGCCGCCGGCCCCGCCGCCAGCTCGTGCTGCACCAGCGACTGCAGCGACACGAAGCCGTGCTGCTGCCGGTGACCCTCCAGCAGAGCCACCTTGGCCACGGCGTCCTTGGAGATGAAGGAGAAGACGGCGCCCAGGCTCTGCAGGAAGCTGAGGGGAGACGGGGGGTGGTGGGTTAGGGGTGGGAAGAGGAGCGGAAAAAATAGCTGGAGGGCGAAAAAATGAAACTAACGCCATTTCGGGGGTGAAAAGAGATGACAAAAAGCATCCGAGGGGGGAAAAGAGAAGGTAAAAACTCTCTGAGGGGTGACAAGAGAACCCAAAAAAACCGCCTGAGGGGGAAAAGACAGCCCTGCTGGAAGCCCGCCAAAAATACACCTGAGGGGGGAAAAGAGAGCCCTGCCGAACCCCCGCGAAAAAAACACCTGAGGGGTGAAAAAATAACCCCAAAATCACCTGAGGGGTGAAAAGAGAAGGCAAGAACTCTCTGAGGGCTGAGAAGAGAAGGCAAAAAGCATCTGAGGGGTGAAAGGAGAAGCCAGAAAACCACCTGAGGGGGGAAAAGACAAGCCTGCAAGCCCCCGCCAAAAATACACCTGAGGGGTGAAAAGAGAAAGCAAAAAGCATCTGAGGGGAGATAGGAAAAGGCAAAAACTCTCTGAGAGGGGAAAAGAGAACCCTACCCAATTCCTGCCCAAAAAATCATCTGAGCGGGGAAAAGACAACCCCAAAAACACGCCTGAGGGGGGAAAAGAGAGCCCTGCCGAACCTCCGCTAAAAAAAATACCTGAGGGGTGAAAAGAGAACCCCAAAATCACTTCGGGGGTGAAAAGAGAAGCCAAAAGCATCTGAGGGGTGAAAAGAGAAACCAAAAACTCTCTGAGGGGTGAAAAGATAAAAAGCATCTGAGGGGGGAGAAGAGAACCCCAAAACCACTTCAGTGTGAAGCCATCCCTCCCTGCCCGGTCACTGCATCCTTCCGCCCAAAGTCCCCCCGCTCACTCCCGGGCACTCACCGGATGAGCCCCCGCCAGCCGCTCAGGTAGGGCTCCAGCAGCACCTCCCGCTGCTCCGTCACGCACCTCCGGAAGGCGTCCAGAACCTCCCTCAGGCTGAACGGGCCCGCGGCCGCCGCCATGGCTCCGCGGCGCCGCCTCCCCTTCTTCCTCCTCCTCCTCCTTCCGCATCCCGCACAGCCCGCTCGGCCAATCAGCGCCGCGTCCGTCACCCGCCGCGCCCCGCGGGCCAATCCGCTTCGCGTGCGTCATTGCGGCTCGGCCAATCCGCGCGGGGCGGCGCAGGCGCGGAGGAGGCGCCGGGGCTGCGGCCGGGCCTGGGTGAATTTGCGGGGTTTTGTGTAGGTTTTTAATTTTTTTTTTTGTGATTTTGCTCTTTTTTTGTCTGTTTTCCTGTGTTTCTACACGTGTTTTACCGGCTCCCAGCAGCGGTGATGGACATCGCAGCCAAACGGGGCCGCTTTCCCACCGGTTGTGGATCACCTCACGCGTGTTTTGCATCTCTCCTCAGGAAAAAGTTTGGGCTCCGCTCGAGTCTTCGCCCGGATCCTGGAAAAACAATTGAAATGTCGCCTGTGAAACCAGCGCAGTCCTCTCCTGTTGTGCCCCCTGCGCATCTGCTCCTGGAGTAATTTTCTGTGCGGGTTTGGGACCCGGAGCGGGGTGAAAATGCCTGAGATCAAAGTCACCCCCTTGGGTAAGTCCGGCCTGAAATCGCCCTGAAATGCAAACACTGAAACCCTGCGGGGTTTGGAATTCAGGGTCACGTTTGGAACCCCTGATGTGATTCCTCTCTGCCTTCCCTTGGCTGTTCCAGTGACAGTTATAACTGTTTGGATTAATTAATCAGGATTAATGAAGTTATTCTTTAAAGGTACTGTGGGATTGTGGAGCATTAATTCACTGCAGTGCTGAAGAGCCACAGGAAGAACATATTTCTAATTTTTCCTTGTTTAATCTTCTTTTAATGGGTTTTGTAGTGAGAGGGCAGAGGATGTGCTGAGCAGCAGATCTGCTTTATCCTCATGGATAATTTTCAGCCTTGGTGTGGGTTTAAATTAATGAGCTTAACGAGGGCAGAGCAGCTGGAAAAGGAGTTCTGATCCTTGCCAGATAAAGGATTCTTCTCTCTTCCTTGAAAATGGAATTGCAGGAAGTTTGTGCAAACCTTTACCTGCTTTTCTTTTTGAAAGAATTGCAGCTTTCCCCAGAGGAGTTTTTCCAGTGTCTTACTGGTTTTTATTGATGTTTTGCTTGTATTTTGCTGGTGATGTTTTATTGGTGTTTTGCTGGGTTTTTGCTGGTGTTTTACTGGTTTTTTGCTGGTGGCATTTTGCTGATACTTTCCTGGTGTTTTCCTGGTGTTTTCTTGGGGTTTTATTGGTATTTTGGTGGTGATGTTTTGCTGATGTTTTACTGGTATTTTGCTGGTGTTTTGTGATGTTTTCCTGGTGTTTTACTGGTGGTGTTTTATTGATGTTGTACCAATGTTTTACTGACGTTTTGTGATGTTTTTCTGGTGTTTTCTTGAGGTTTTATTGTGTTTTGCTGGTGGTGTTTTATTGGTGTTTTGCTGGAGTTTTCCTGGAGTTTTGCTGGAGTTTTCTTGGTGTTCTGCTGACATTTTGCTGGTATATTGCTGGTGGTGTTTTGCTGATATTTTCGTGGTATTTTCCTGCTGTTTTATGACATTTTCCCCTGTTTGTTGCTGCTTTGCTGGTGCCCAGGTGCCGGGCAGGACGTGGGCAGGAGCTGCATCCTGGTGTCCATCGCTGGCAAGAACGTGATGCTGGACTGTGGCATGCACATGGGCTACAACGACGACGTGAGTGTCCCCTGGGCCAGGGGGACACTGGCCTGGCCCTGCTGCACTTCTGGCCTCCTCCATCATCCCCTGCTGGGGCTGGGCAGTGCCAGAGCTGCTCCTTCCCCTTCCAAAATCTCCCTTCCCCATCAGTGTTCCATGAAACGTCAGCCCCTCCTTTCCCTGGCTGGTGGATTTGGGGAAAATTTATTAATGCAGCTGCAAATGCTCCATTCCAGGTGGGTTTGGACTCTCTGGGTTTGCTGGGAGCAGGAATCCTGTCCTTAGCTTTGGGGCAGCTCATTCCATGTGGGATCCTCACCACATTTCTGCTGCTCCAGGGGGAGAGAGGGAAACTCCTGATTTTGGCTTCCCTGCCCCAGCAGGAAAGGAGCAATGGCACAGATATTCTGCAGGATTTAGTCCAGGCAGCAGCTGTGCTGTGACAGGAAAGCTTCTGGGGCTTTGTGCCTCAGAGCCAGGGTGTGTTCAGCACCTCTTGCACTTGGGAGATAACATAACTTATTTGTGAAAGGCTCAGTTTGTGTTTGTGCCCTCATTTCTGCTTCTCCCTGCACACAAAAGCTGCTGGTGCTGCCTGGAGAGGGCTCAGCACATTCCCAGTGTCCCATTGTCCCATTTTCTCAATTTTTTGTTGGATCAGTGGTGCTGGTGCTGCCTGGAGAGGGCTCAGCACATTCCCAGTGTCCCATTCCTTCCATTTTTTGTTGGATCACTGGTGCTGCCTGGAGAGGGCTCAGCACATTCCCAGTGTCCCATTGTCCCATTTTCTTCATGTTTTTTTTGATCACTGGTGCTGGTGCTGCCTGGAGAGGGCTCAGCACATCCCCAGCACCCCAGTGTCCCATTGCCTCCAGTTTTTTTGGATCACTGGTGCATTCCTGATGGCTCTCCTGTTTCCCCACGGCTGCAGAGGCGCTTCCCTGACTTCTCCTACATCACCCAGAACGGGAGGCTGACTGATTTCCTGGACTGTGTCATCATCAGGTGAGGCTCCTTCCTTGTCCCAGCACCTCCCAAGCCCACCCCTCACATTTTACCTCCTTTTTCCCCCCACCCTCCACAGCTGCAAAACATCTGGGAGCCCCCCAGGCTCAACCCATTGTGGTTTTTTTGGGTTTTTTTATATTTTCAGCCATTTCCACCTGGACCACTGCGGGGCCCTGCCCTACTTCAGTGAGATGGTTGGCTATGATGGCCCCATCTACATGACCCACCCCACCAAGGCCATCTGCCCCATCCTGCTGGAGGACTACAGGAAGATCACCGTGGACAAGAAGGGGGAAACCAACTTCTTCACCTCGCAGATGATCAAAGACTGCATGAAGAAGGTGGTGGCTGTGCACCTGCACCAGACCGTGCAGGTGAGGGCCTTGGGAATCAAGGGGTGCAATTAGCAATGTCCCTAATGAATCAAGGGGTTGAGTTGGAGATGTGGGTGATTAATCAAGGGGTTAAATTAAAAATCAAGTGGTTAAGTTAGGAGCGTAGCTAATGAATCAATGGGTTAAGTTGGAAATGTAGCTGATGAATCAAGGGGTTAAATTAGGAATGTAGGTGATTTATCAAGGGGTTAAGTTAGGAATATAAGCTAATTAATCAAGGGGTTAAGTTAGGAGTGTAGCTAATGAATCAAGGGGTTCAATTAGCAATGTAGGTAATTTATCAAGGGGTTGAGTTAGAAATGTAGCTAATGAATCAATGAGTTGTTGGAAATGTAGCTAATGAATCAAGGGGTTAAGTTGGAAATGTAGGTGATTAATCAAGGGGTTAAATTAAAAATCAAGGGGTTAGGTTAGGAGCGTAGCTAATGAATCAAGGGGTTAAATTAGAAATGTAGCTATTAGGCAGTTTAGGTTTCCTCCTTCCTCCTTTAGAGTAAATCCAGAGGGATCTGGATTTCCAGATATTCCTGATATTTTCAAATTGAGTTGAAATATTTGCATTCCTGAAGAGTTTTGCTGTTTATATTTTATATATAATTGAAATATTGGCATTCCTGAAGGCTTTGCTGTTTATATTTTTCAGATATATATCTATATATATAAGGTGAAATGTTGGCATTCCTGAGGAGTTTTACTGTTGATATTTTATGTATAACTGAAATGCTGGCATTCCTCAAGGCTGTGCTGTTGGCAGGTGGATGAGGAGCTGGAGATCAAGGCTTACTACGCCGGCCACGTGCTGGGAGCTGCCATGTTCCAGATCAAGGTTGGCTGTGAGTCCGTGCTCTACACTGTGAGTATGCCCACAGGGAGAATTATTTATAATAATATTTATAAAACATTCCCTTTTTTAGCTCTAAATATTCCCAAATAATTGTATTTTATATACACATATATATGTAATTTTTTATATATATGTAATTTAAAATATATATGTAATTTTCTCTATATATGTAATTATATATTATTAATATAATATACATTTATATATTAAATTTATAAATATATTATAAATATAATATGTATTATATTTATACATTATTATATATTTATATTCTTTCTATACCAGATATTTATATAATACATATGATATATATTCTCTTTATATTATATATTTATATTAGTTATATATTTGATATTCATATTATATATTTCATATTTATATATTATAGTATAGGTATATATAACATTTATATTATTTATATTTTATATATGTAATATTCATACTTATATATTAATATCCATTTATATTATTAAAGTATATTTTTATATATTATACATATTATGTGCATATATTATTATATATTCATATTACTGACATACCATGTATTTATATTATTTATTATATTTATTATACATTTATATTATTGATACACCAAATATTTATATAATTTACCTATAATGCATTATAGATATTATAGTTATTTATATATTGTTATATATTTATATTATTTCTATTCCATGATATGATATATTTGAGCCTCAAAAATATCTCTGGGTTTTTCTTCTCCCCTCAGGGTGATTATAACATGACACCAGACAGACACTTGGGGTGAGTAAAAGCTGAATTTCAATTTTGAGCTGAATTAATTGAAATTAAGCTACCGCAGAGGCCCCAAGCCCACTTTACTCCCATTTCCTGTGCCATTCCTGAATCCAGCTTGGAGATTTTCAGATTCCAGCAGGGATTTTGGGTGTGTTCTCCATGCCAGGGCTGCCTGGGTGGACAAGTGCCGCCCTGACCTGCTGATCACGATAACTCAAATTAATCACTGAATTAATTCAAATTAAGCTACCACAGAGCCCCCAAGCCCACTTTACTCCCATTTCCTGTGCCATTCCCCAATCCACCTTGGAGATTTTCAGGTTTTAAACACCACAGACCATTTC